TTAAAATTTCCTGAGACGATGATTTCAGTTCTAGGCAACATTCGTCGCTCCTCAAAGACGTTTATCTGAAGTCCATATTGAGATCGTTCACGCAGATGTGCATTTAAGATATCTAAAGATGACGGTTTACATCGCTTTTTTCGTTGGTTGTGAAAGCTGCTCGAAAATTTTCAGCTAGTTTTGAGAGACAGCCAAACTGAATGTGAAATGACAGTGAAATGACTTCCGATGAAAACCGCATTGAAAGTTTGTATCCCCGGGGGGTCACTGAAGGGATGTTTTGGCAAAGGTATTCCGCAGATGCCGTCAAATCCCGACCCTACCTGTGTAAGACAACAATCGTTCATTTCTCTACCCTGGTCAAGACAAGATACCCTATTTCATTACCCCGATTCATTTCGTTTTGCCTACAAAATTACGTAATTTTTCATACTAACAACAGGGAACTGAGTTTTATCAAGAGCCTGATATGACTCTTAATTTTAAGAAAAGAAAAATTGTTGGTATCACAAACGTAGATATTTTTAATATAGCCAACCTCCACTTTCTCCTGTCTCCAAATCGACACCCTGTTTAAAAGGCGCTAAACAGTGAAATCGTGTACCCCATTGAGACTCTTTCGGTGACTAGTTATCATGCCTTTGAGTTTCGCAGCTAATGGTAACACGTGTAACTTGCAACGTTGCAAGAACAACTATGGAAAAGAGCAGACTTCAACGTTTAAATGATAATAATAATAATAATAATAATAATAATAATAACTGATAATTACGGCAATGATGGCAAGCTACCCAGACGAAACTGATATTGGGCGTGTCTCATGACGTCATCATCTAGCCTAGCAAAGCTCTGAAAGCTGCACAGAATTGATTCTAATCTTCCCCAGCAACGGTTTTCAGGAGCACATGCGGTTTTGAAATAAAGGACAATGAGTCCGTGTTAATATCCTTATTTGATTTGGATGTTTTACTAGAAGTGAAAGATGCCTCAGATATTAGCTATGCCACGAAATTAAATCTGCCGGGTAAATCTCATTTGAGGCAGTATTTCATTTCTTATGTTTCTGCCACACCGGGGTCTAGTTAATTGACAGGATATCGATACTGTAGATCCAAATATTTCTATGGGAATAGCGGTAATTGTGCAATTAACATAAGCTATTAAGTAACAGTTAACACAAACGTAGCAAATTCCATTCAATCACATTACTGTCAGGACCAACACAAGTGTCTAACGACCTCCCTTTATTTTTGTGTGAAATTACATCAATGAAGTTTAAAAAATATTTTCAATGGAAGGAATGTAACTTAATTTTTGCGAAAGGATGCGCGAGCTACGCAGCGTAATTCCTGTTTGTATGTCGGTTGTGTGTTGATCTAGTGTCTTGAGTCCTTGAATAAACATGACATAAATGATATGCTTGTACGGTTTCTAGAGTATAGAGGAAGCTCTTAATAATCCGACAGCCAGACAGTAAATTAGATTAAATGTCGTGGAAACCTTCGCGTTGGTGTGCTTTTTGATACGTTTCGGTTGTTTTTCGCCTGAAATGAAGCAACTTTTCGTCGATTTAATCGACTGGAAAGGAGGCTTGAGGACGGTCACGCTATGTGACAATGACGTCTGTCGCTATGATGTGACATGTGAGCTGATTGTATACAAGATAAAGCGTCATAATAGACAACTCACATGGATGTAAAAACAATGAAAGCCTCAAAAATGCGACCTATTCTTTGAGAGGTCAGCAAGTTTATGAAAACAAGACAGTTGTGACAATCTTGTGAAAAACACTTTGCAACCGTGCAAGCCAGAGGCTGAAAGTTAAGGGATTCAACAGGAAGAAGTTTTCCGCATTTTGAATGAGCCACTTTAGCAGATGTCATGGCGTGTTTTTACGGTCGTCAAAATTTGCCATTTCTTAGCTGAAGGGCACAGTACACTTTGGAGCGATTAGTATACTCGCGTTTGTTGTTACGAATCCATCAAATTTATCAAAACTGCCGTCTTGAAACATCTCGTTGAAACATGGCTGTTTTAACAGAGGATGCCTTGGTCGGTAAGTTTATGTTTAATTTAAGTGCCCTTTTGTGAGTTTTTGGCAGTAATCGGGTGGTTTAATACGCTGAAAACCCTCCGAGAACATGGCTTTTTATTTGGTGTTAACAGGTTTAGCCCAGACTAGTTAAACTAACTCGTATTTCAAATACGATTCTTAACATGTGAGTTCATAATGCGCGCGTATTCTTGGATCTCTATCGAGCTATCCTGCTGTTTTTTAGACAACTACTAAATAAGCGTTGGTCTGTCTATAATATAATTTAGCGCTTTCGCTTTCATAATGTTTTTAATATACCACATAAATATAAACCCGGTGAAGCGAAGCGAGGTGCTTAATTCACTTTAAATATTTGTAAATGAAACAATCTGTTACCAAAAGAGAGTCTTTCTGAACTTTTCCGTGAATGAATTGTCGCACTAGACTTTGATCAGTTCTGAACTCCCATGCAATTTTCTCAGTCTGTTTACTCACTTGTCATATCTAATGAATCAGCAGTGCATTTGACAGCGAAATTTAATGATCGCGCGCGGAGCTCTCGATCATGCATCGCATCGCACTTACACGGTTGAGAAATGTTTCTCAACCCACGTTTTAAAATCTTTTATTTGTAACTGAAAAACGCAGTCGGTGGCGCGCCGATATGAAAATAAAACCAAGTGTAATCTATTCCCAAACCACCCATTAAGTTGCGGTTGTAGATTTTCCTTTGACACAAACCATACATTGTTCTTTTTCATGCCTCGAAAACTTATTTGCATATCATTTTAACTAAATACTTAGCCTTCTGAAACAGATGTTTCGTTATTTGCTTTCTAAGAATGGGGTTTCCCTAAGGGTTCAAAAGCTGAATCAGTGTCAACTAAACATCTTGGAAGATTACCAAACTGCTTTCATATCAACATTTATTCATGGGTTCTTTCAAATAGCTTTCAGAAGAGCCCTCTAGTTTTGTACGTGCAGGTGTAAATTTGAGGCGATTCTCCCAAGAATGGCAACTCAATTAGCGCCCTTAGGGCAGAAAATATAGGTTTGTGTTAGATATACAGAGTAGATCAATATTTGATTCAAACATAAACCAAACCGTTTCTTTTTACATCTCATTAGAATTAAGAGAATAATACTGTACTTAGTGAAAATTAGCTAGAAACTTCTATAATTCTATAAACATGTTTCTTAAACATTTTGAAATGACGATGTTAAACTTTGCTTTCAAATGCCCCTGATATTAAATTTGGTACTTGATTAGTCGAGATCTCTTCCCCTCTAACCTTAAAAAACGTGGTCACTAAATAATGAATTATTATTATTATTATTATTATTATTATTTAAACCTAATAAGATTTCACTTTTGCAAATAGTTAAAGTATAATCATTTTAGCTAAAACATCAGGCAATTGCATTATGTGATTATAAGTTTTATTAACTAAACAACTATCAATAAAAAAATGGGAGAACTACATATTTATTAATTCAAGTTGTAGAATGATGTATACTTTACTTTAAGATCTAGTTTGTATGCAGCCAGGTTTGAGAGTACCATTGGTTACAAAGCTTCAAAAAAATTCAATGCTAAGAATAATTATTATTGCATAGCTCTTAAAATATGAAGGTGTGAGTTGGATTTTCTGCTATTTGCTTAAAACCTCTTAACCTTTTAATACCCACTTTAAAAAATCATACAGGTAAAATTTTTTCCTAGTGATAGTAAGCCTTAGATGTTGAATCTTGTATTGGTTGTTGAAAAAAGTTGTTTTTCTCCATGTGTGGTTCTAAAAATATCCATTCCCATTTCCCCCAGCCACTAACAAAAGGCACACTTATCTTAATTTATTCAAGATATGCACATGCAAAGACAGTTCTTAATACGAGAGGACACTCAGTTCCCTCCTAGGTATTAGGGACTTTAAGATTAAATGACGCGATGGCAAAGAGAACGTCTAAAAGAATAATTAGGTTAATAAGCAAAAAAGCAACTTTGTACGGGCAGCACACTTTTTTGTATATTTCTTTGCTGGTTTTGCACGACTAACGATGTGAAAATGCCTAGTTTTGTGTTCCATGGAGAATGTAAACAAGCAGGAACAAAATTTTATTTCGCTTGCTGAACGTGAATATGGTCCCTTGGAATTCAAATTCAGGAGGGGTCGCATACATTCGACAAAGTATGTAAGTAGGAATAATGGGGATAAAGACTGGGAGAATGCAAATTCACTTTTTGAGCAACATTCTTGTTACTGTTGTGTCGTTGGATCTTTAATACCCTCTTTGACCTTGAACAGTCCCCTCCCTCCATGAAATATATTTAAAAGTACTCCACCCTTGTCTGTGTCCCTAGGAGCAGTTTGAGTCTAATGTCTCTTTGTAATTTAATAGCTTTATAAAGGAATGATGAAACAAAAACAAATACTGTCAACTCTCAGCTCTAAAGGGAACACCTTTAATTTGGGACCATGCAGCACTAAGTGTGACTGTCTTAGAGAGATGTTTGTTTTATACAGTGGAACCTATATCTATTCAAGGGACACCCCTGTTCAGGGCACACCTTAGCACTCAAAGAGTGACTGACCACAAAATGGTTGATAAGTTCAGGGGCGAATCCAGGGGAGGGACCCGCGAAGCCAGGGCCACCCCTTATTTTTAGACCATACTGAGGCCTGAAGGGGGGGGGGGATTTTTTTGAGACCGAGTCCTCCCCCTTATCTCAGGGTCTGGATGACTGGGCCCCCACAAAACATCACAGCGATAAGTTAATCATGATTTTTAGACATTATCTAGCTGCTTGAAATAATGTCTGCAGTAGATTCAGAGGCAGAATAAATGAAAAATATTTTATTTGTTGGTAAATTATTAACAAACCCCAGTCCAACCTCCATTCAGGGGACACTTGCCTTAGTCCCATGGGAGTCCCCTGAATAGAGGTTCCACTGTAGAGAGTCAAATAAAGGTAGTAAAGAAAGGCGGGGCCCAACTCGAGGTGTCCATTTTACCAAGGTGTCTGGGATCATTTTATGTTTTTGTGAAACTGCCCACCTACCCCTCCCCTAAACCAATATTAACACTTAGTTCTTACTTAGGGCAAAATGTTGGCTTAGGTCATTACAGGTATAGGTTTTTATAAGCCCCTTGTTGGTGGCCTTAATTACCTAACATGTAACATGAAAGTATTTCTCATCAAATTGGCTCTGTGTAGCCCAGTTTTATGTTTATTTGTGTGTGCTAGCTGTCAAAAAAGGATAATTGTTTAGAATGCAGTAAATTATTTTATATTTTACATGATTTTAGGTTTAACTAAAATTGAAGTCTATATTGGTCTCAAACATTAAATAAATAAAAATTTAGCAGCAAGACCTGTATATTTTCATTAGAAACAAGTTTAGTTTGACTTACTAATTGCATTTTGCTTTTAATAATTATAAAGGCAAAACTCATCATTGCTTTAACATCTTTATCGTTGGCTTTTAACAATTATTCCCATTTCAACTAAGATGTATCTCTGATGGAATTTTGTTGTGGACAATTTTGAAAAGATGAGTAAATTCATGTAATCAATTTTCTTTTTTGAATGTGTTTAATTATTTACAGCTATTAAGAATTGAGTAGTTTTTCTAAAACTGTTGAATTGAAAATCATAAATAATAAATTTGTTTGAAAGGATTAGTCTGGATTGAAATGAAATGTCAACTTTACTGCAAGCTATTTTTTGCTACATCTTACTGAAATATGGCTCTGTTCGAACATTTTGGTTGTATTTTTTGTATTATGTCTGTCTCTTTAATCCTTTGACATTTGTCAGGTACTGTTTTTGCAATATCTAAAGTTTCTACCCAATTCTATTTATTTAGATTTGATTTTGTATATTATTTTTGTGGTCTTACATTCATATACTACAGCACAATAATTAGATTTTCCTCATTTAAAATCCTCTTTATTTCAAAGCTTTCATAAATTGTGTTTGAATATGCAGTTTATTCATTTTATTCAGAGGGTTTTTATTACTTTTTCTTTACAGCTGCTTACTTTTTATATTCTTTAGATTTATTATACCACAAATTAAAAATTTGTGTGAGGGGTATATTTACAACTACCGGTGCCTCTCTCTAAGACCTGGCATTTTTTAGCAGGACCCAGCATTTAACTGGGAAAAATTGTGTGAACTGGTAGAGTTGTGTAATATATGATTATTGGTATGACAAAATTGATTACGTTTTATCCTAATGCCAAGAAGGTTTCATTGCGCATATAGTAATACCACAGGAGTAACATAGTTTACATAACATATTTAAGTGACGAATAATTATCTCACCATAATTTAGTCGAGTAGTGAAAGGGGTAAATTTCGCACTTTGATTATTGTGCACAGCCTTATACTATCAGGAATTGTACCTTCACTGGAGACCATTTCGAGTTACTGATTAAGTGAAAATTGGTTATTATCACCTTTCAGTTGTTGACTATTTATTCAATGTGTACGGTATTATTTTGCTTAACTTCTCACTTTTTGGATTCTTACACAAAGCTTAAATTTTGTCTTTATTGGCAAAGCTGTACTCTAAGATAAATTGAGGGGAGCCCAGTGCTCTGAGCCTGTGAAACCTAGCATCTGATTTTATATGAAAAGACTTGTCCCCCAAGTGCAAAAGTACAGTGATAGGGACCAATAGGTGCTGCTAGAGCAGAGCCCACATTCCTTAGGTGGGGGGGGTACTCCATTATCCTTACTCTGTAAGTGTTGCTGAAAAGGGTATGGTTTTCAGAGTTTTGAGCCAAACAATGTATACATGTCCAGTCTTACTGTTTAGTGTTTTGAATAGAGTTCCGTTTTGGACTGAAAGCCTTCCAAAAAGTGTGAAGGTCGGCAATGAGCAACTGTGTAAATTTGTGGCATCAATAATTGTTTTCAAAGAAATCTACTTCCATGATGTTAGTTTCAAAGATTACTTATATAAACTAATTATTCTGACTGTATGTGGAATGAAATGAATCAGGGTTGTAAGATAAAGTGTCTTGTCTTAAACAGGGTAGCAAAATTCACTGATCCTTTTTTGGCCTTTATATATTTTTTTTCAGAATTCCAAGCACGACTTTCCAAAATAAGTGTTTTTCTTGAGAGCACATTGTCTAAGGAATCACTGAGTGCTGAAGCAGATGAACAAAGGAAAGAATGCATAACAGTTGTCGAAGGAATGAATAGTTCTTTAAACAATATGAGAAATAACAACTTAAAGGAAGGAAAGCTTCTAAATGCTGGGCTGTCAGTGTCTAATCAGTCACTGAATGACACAAGTGACTTTAAAAATGGTGTTAGAGAAGAAGGAATCCAACGGAGTGGTTCTCTTCCAGAAATTAATCAATCAGATGATTTAGAAGATTGGCAAGCAACTAGAACTACAAAGGTATGTGGTTATCTTAAATTAATCCTTGGTTTTGAAGTTATATGTATGCATTTTAGTTAATTTTTTCTCTCAGGTTATTTTTCCCTTTTTTTTGTTTTTGGGTATAGTTATGTATGCTAACGAAGTTGAAACAAAGGAAAAATAAAAATTACTTGAGATAAAAAATTAGCTACAACGTATACAAGAGACTTGCTTCTTACGAATGGGCTTCTTGATTTCTCCGGCCTTTTGGAAATAATAACAAGAAAAGATGAAAAGCAATTTAATAATGTTATGTATGTGTTTGGTTGAAAACCATTGCATACAAATTCAGCTGCCTTAATCGATGAAGCCAGTTAAAAATTGCAATACTATTAAGAATTGAATTTCATGGATTTAATAAGTCTTTTTTAAAGATTTAGTGTATCACCATAATATTGTTACGAATGAAATTAAAGTAGACGGTAAATAAGGTTCAGAAAAAATAAAGTTGTTTGATTTAATGGACAATAACATGCCTTTCTATTTTAAATATTTTTTATAATGAGTGAAAACCTTCTAAATGTCCCCTGAGGTGGTGAAGTTCTGATTTAAAGCAACAGGAATAATCAATTTTTTTTTTCTGCAGGAGGGGGGGTGCAAATTTTCCACTCTAAGATTGTTAGGGTCAGGAAAATTTGCCAAGTGTTTTTGATTTAAGTAGGAATTTTTTGGGATGTTATTCAAAACATTGTAAGGATTTGAGTTACTGCCCAGTGACACCTATCCCAGCTGCAAACTTGTTTTGTGGTCATTTTTGTTTTCTGAGTGGTATTAAATGCATTACAATTGCATTCATCCAACATGGATTCAACTGATTTATCATACACCATTACCCAGCTTTACTGTCAGAGGAATTTCCTTTGTTTTGTGAATTTATGGGGGCTAATTTTTGGGCTAGGGATTTTTCAGGAAGCCCTGGATATTTTTTTTGTGTTTCAATTTTTCTCCCTGTAGATTATCCCTGTCACTTTAAATGCAGTATACCCCTCTTGGGATCTCCAACTGCAGTCATTTTGATTTTAAGAGGAAATTGAACCAATTTTATCCGCATTCTCAACTACCATACAAATGTATTTTTATCCTTGTATAGGCAATTAAATCAATTTATTAAAATCACTGTTCTTTCTATGTTATATTTCTAACCTAACAGGCCTCCTATCTCTATAATAAACATGGTAACCTGGATGAAGAATTAAACTTAAAAGACTTGCGTGAACTTGTAATTTATCATCCTTTTGACGAAGATGAGGAGTCGGACAGTACAGATGATGATAATCCCAATAATTTAGCCCTAAATAGCTCAAACCAACTAAACAACTCTAACCGTTCTCCAGTAAACAAACGAAAGAGTCGTAAACGTGACAGTGCAGCCCTGTTTGATATTTCCCTTGAGGACTTATGTGAGCCAGACTTTGCGGGTTACCTAAGAGAGAAACACAGTGAAAAGCTTTGGTGGTGTGTTCTAATTGATCAACATCTGTGTATATTTCCTTCACGAGATCCAAACGAAGTGGCATATGATGTCATCATAATGCCGTGTTGTCAGATCTCGCTGGACGACAGACTTATGCGCACCCCGGTGTTTAGGTTAACCCAATCTGATATGGCACCCTGGGTTTTTGTTGCCTCAAACAATGATGAACTAAAAGAGTGGATGAAAGTTCTTACTGTGGCAGCATCTGCTGGGAAAGAGTCTTCCACTCAGGCTACAAAGTCTGAGGAAAAAACACCTGTTTGTCATAAAGCTCCTGCAATGCAAGCGATAGTAGAGGAGGAAGAAGAAAGTGAAGAGCAATTGATTTCTTGTTCATTGCAATCAGATGCTAAACATGCTTCAACTCAGCTTCAAAATAACTCTTCTGGGTTAAACAAGGTAAAGATTCTACACTGCTATAAGGCTAAATGAATGCTTAAATTCGGTAAAGTTTTAAGTTAAACATTCTCAGAACTTATTAAAATCAGGTCATTTCTAAGAGTTAAATAATAAAAATTTGTAATAATATTTATTTAACTCCTAAAAAGCACCTGATTTTTGTGCTTACTAAATAAGAAATTAACATGACTTATGAATAAAATGATTAAGCCGCTTAACTCTCTCTAAAGGGGATACAACAGCATTAAAAGAGAAGACTGGCACCACCAAAAAACCGACTTGTAGAGTTGGTACTTGCCAGGCTTCAGTCATTTTGCTTCTCTTGCCTTAAATAAAGGAACTGGAGTGGAAACCAGTGGCAAATTGAATGAAACATAAAATTTTTAAAAGAATAACTGTTCAAAACATTTATAAAAGAAGGTAATATTGAAATGTAAGTATCACAACTGATACAAAAAAAAGAAGGTAGGGATGGATAAACTGGAAGAAAATTCAGATGGATTGTAAGTTTTGTTTTTCAAAACTTGTTAGCTTAACAGTTCTTCAAAGTTAATTTGTGTTGCTTGTAACATTTTAATACTAAACAATGGTTAGTGGGCAATTTTGTTTGGGATGAAGCTGTGATTTTGTGGTACATAAGTGACTTCTTGATGACATTAAGTTCTAAAGTGAATAAAGATGTGTAATTGGCAATATTAACAAACTGAAATAGACACTTATGACACAGTGCCTTTAAAGACGGACACTTACTGTGTTCTCTTTCTCAGGCGGTAACCGGTAGAATTTACTGCTTGCAGCAACACTTCATACCATCTGCAACCGCTTAGGGGGTCCTTGAAATTATACAAGTTGTTTTAAAAAATGCACAAGTTACAATCTTCTTTCTTATATATATGGGCCACATGTTATGGAAAGAGAGCAGTTTAAGACAGGATAAAATTATTTAAATCACACATTTATTTTAAAGTGTTGTCTAAAGATTTAAACTATCAGTTTGAAGGGGAAAAGGTATACTGCCAACTTCATATAATAAGAGATCTTTAATTAAGCCCAGTGGCTCTTAAAAAATTAAGTTTTAAAATTTGTTGTAAGTTTTTAACCTCAGATCAAAAAGAGACAGATAACTTACAACAGTGGATTACCCTAAAATTGGTCTTAAAATTACAGAATATGATATCGATGTTTCAGAGAACTTAGCTCCTAAAAATTTCCCACTGAGGCTGGGGCCATATGACCCTCACCCCACTTCCCTCCCGGGACAGTCACTGCACCCCTGGTGTATATTTTTGGCTTTACCGGTCAGGAATGGTCTCTTACCTGCTGAGCTAAAATTTAAGGAGAACACTGCACTTAGTACGTGTTCCAGAGTGTCTGTCTTACTGAGACAGTTCACTGTAGCAAAAGATAACAACATTTTTTTTTGTTTCTATTTTATACTGTTAATATATGCTAAATGAATTTTGGGGTCCTTCTATATACTATGCTTGTATTGAACTATTGGTGGCAACAATATTAAATATAATTATCACAGTGACCTCACCATCATTGCAGCATATTACCAATTCATTTTTTTTTATTGACCAAATTGATATTTAAATGATATTTGAGGAATGAATTAATAAAAAAAGCAAACAAGTATAATTTAAATGAAATGAAAAAGTTGCTACATTGTGGTTAACATTTGAAAGATATATTAATTGATGGTTTTCTATTTAAAAGAGTTTGTATTGATTCGTTTTTTAATTGGTGCTGCAAGCGCAATAAAGCATCAAATATTCAACTTGAAATAATTTTACCATGGCGCTTTCAATATCTTTTTTGGATAAATTATGGTATTAAAATTACATCTATTGTAATGAGAGCTCTGCATGAGGGCAGAAAAATAGGTTGTTTACACAGGAGGTGAGGATTAAGGTCTTTATTGGACTTGGCAATCTACGTGAAACTTATGTAAAAGATAAAATAAGAAAATAGTGTCAAATTTGTAAAAAGATGTTCAAAATCAGTTACCATCTATCTGCTTGAATATCTCATTTAAAACATGCACCTGTATTTAAAAGTTTCTATCCGCAGTTAATGGCCATTATTGATAATCACTTCACTGTATTTTCAGCTAAAAGTCTTTAGCGCTCCCTTTTTACATGTAACAAGGAAGTCTTGAAATAGGATGAAACAGGGCTTTGCGAATTTATTATTTAATATGGAACGTGTATAGGTTTGACAATAACTGAGTACCGGTACTGGTAATATAAAACTGATATAGTTGAAGAAGTTCTGGTCTTTTCTAGTTGTTCCTGCAGACTCAATATACTCTTGGCATTAATGGAACTTTCATAAAATTCATGATAAGAATAAAAAAATAAGTGCTAATTAAAATTATTGCTTTCTAACTCTGCAACTGCAAGAGGAAATTTAAAGTTTTGTTGTTCGTTTAACAGGATATAAAAACATTATTCTTATAACGTTGTTACCTTAGCAATCAATGTTTGGTATTTCCTAAACAAGAGTTACAATATTGAAGTGACTCACGTACCGCAACCTAATGGATTGCTTTAATGCAAACCTACAATCAACCATTGGCTCGTGCTGTGATGGCTGTATTGCTTGAGTAGCCAATTTTTATCATAAGAGTGTCTCTATGCGTCTAGCCATTTGTCTGGTGTGTTCTAAGTGAACATGTAAACCACACTTGATTGGCTTTCACATTGTTATATTTGCCAGGGAGAGTGGTTCATTGTAATGTGTTGTGCCCAAAAATATTCATTTTTACCCCATGGCGAGGGACACCCCACTGGACATTCTAGGGGGGAGTGGGTAGTAAAGACCAAAAGTTGTAGAGAAAAGTCTTATATAACTGGAATTTCCATAGATGAAGGGGGGAGGGGGTGGAGGTTTGAAAATAAAAAACCCTCCATGATGGGGAGTTGGGAGGATGGATTTATTCCAGAATAACACAGCAAAAAGGGGGCCAATGATTTGAATGAAATTGTGTCAGAAAATTCTAAACCTGATCTGAAAATTTTGTGAGTGAATTTGATGAAACTTTAAGTTTCTGATTTTTAAACCAGGGTCTCGGTGCCTCAGGAAGTCTCAGATTCTTAGAATTTCTGACCCTTAATAAGCATCCTTAGTGAAGAGAAGTTTGTGTTTTCTGTACTATAAGTTTGTATTGTATTATTGCTGTGTGCAATGCTGTTCTTTGTAAGTGCATTATGCCTTTTGTCTGTAGTGAGAAACATCTAAACTCCTCACAATATTCCTAGTTTATTCAAGCACAAACATTATGAAAATACAGGAGATGATAAATGTCTTGCTTTGAAACAATTTCTTGTCTTTACTAGCACATGATATTTAAACAAAGCATTGTAGAGTATACTTATTTTGATATTGGATTTTTCTTCTAAGAGTTAACTGAAGCTTGCGGCAAGGTTCTTATTTGAAAGGCACCACAGATCTTTGATATTTTGATGTTGTCTTGAGATGTTATGATAGCACTAATATCACCAAGCTTCCTGCTTTAATTTGACAACACAATATTGTTACTCCAGTAATTACTGGCGTATTAAAGCAAGCATGTGCATGGAAGAGAAGAAAGTTTATGTTTGGTGGAAAAAGGCCTACTGCTGTTGTATTGTAAGCTGTGTAACTTAAGATAACCAAATCTGAACTAAGTTATAAGCTACAATCTAGTCACCATGTTTCAAAAGTTTATTTGTTATGGTCATTTGTCAAATGCTTCACAAAGCCTGTATCTACTTGTCTTGCAAATTACGAAAAGTGTGGTCAGCTCTTGACAGTTATAGGCGTAACAACAAGCCACTGTTAAACAATTACTGAAAGTTCTCCTTTTGCATTATAGTAATAATGTGTTTGAATGTGTTGATTACAGATTTAGAGCTTTGAAATTCATCCTCTTCAACTTGCATGTTGTTTGCCTTTAGATGCAATATCTAATGCAAAGCGAAATTATTTAACAACAATTAGTTGGATTATTTTACTAAAAGCAAAATTTTGGGGACCTAATGAGGATAGTCCTTTTATTACAGCAACGGTCAACTATTTTATGTGGTAACGTTCAGCTTAAAATAATTCTCTTGGGAAATTTTGGCTACGAGAAGGATGAGCAAATACTTAAAAAAGGTGATAATTATTTGAAATATTAGTTGTCACCAATGCTTGAATGTTAATATTGGTTGTTTTTGTTTCTAGAGTGAGGAAAGTGTTGCTGTAAGTTATGTCAATGGAGAACCTTTAGAAAATGGCTATCCAAACAAAGAGCTACCCAAACTTCCCAATCATGAATTTGGTGAATTGCCAAAAATACCAGATGAGGTTGATGGTGGTGGACAGTTTGGGGAAGATGTGTACGAGGCAGTGGCAGAATTACAATTAAAAAATCAGATTGGTCACGGCGAACATGAGCACCAGGATGATGGTTTTGCTACTGATGAGTTTGACTCTGGCTCATCAGATGGTGAAGTTTCGCCTAACCCACAAGCACAGCCAGTGCAACAGAAAGGCAAAAAGAAGAAACAGTTTTTTCACTGGCTTAAGAAGAAGGGAAAGAAGGACAAACTGTTCTCGAGTCCTCAAGACGGAGTTTCTTTGGCTGGGTATGCTTACAAGGGAAATGATAGTGCCAAACGGTGGTTCTTGATCAGGGAAGAAAAACTTTACTGTTATAAGACGATCAAAGACGATGACCCTGAAATGACAGTGGATTTAAAAGGAAGCGAGATCAGAGCAGGCGAGGAGGAGAAAAGCAAGCTTGCTGTTCAGGTGATGAGAGATGGCGTGAGTCAGTTCACTCTTGTGGCCAAGAACGCCAAAGATTGGGAACGCTGGAAAAAAGCATTACTCATTGAATCAGGGTTCATTAAGCTTGCCACCTCTCCCACGGAGTCAAGTTCAGGGGTGTTTGAACAAGAGGATGAAGATGACTATGTGTGTCCTGTAATTTCTCCTGAGTTACAGAAGAAGATTTCAACATCAACAGAAAAGCCTGTGATAGCAGTTCAGACAGTGGATTCAGTACAAAGTGCAAACTCTTCAAAAGACAAGGATGGCTACACGGAAGTTGGGTCAACAATTCATGTTGCAAATCACAAGCCAGCGTCTCCGTCTGCTAGTCACCAAGAACTGGGACCACTTCCTCCAATACCACCTGAGCTACCGGCCAGTTGGAGAGCATTAAATGAGGAGGACAAGAAAGACAAAAGTGATGCTGCTGAAAAGTCATGGGCAGATGAAGAGATTTATGAAGAAGTGGCTAGCTCAGTGGCTCATGCTGACAAAGTAATCAAATGGGATGGAGTGAATACTGCTAAACCCGAGGGAAGTCCTACCAGTCCCATCAGTCCTATGACCCCTACAAGTCCATCAGGGGGTGGTCAGATCAAGCCAGGGGATAAAGCAAGCAAAGGTCAGTGTTAGTAATTATGTACTGGCAAGGGTGCACTCTAAGGGGCCGTCCACATTTGGTGCATGGGAACTAGTGCCTGGGTATTAGCACAAAAAGGGTTGTAAGGTTTAAAAAGGTTTAAAGACTTGTTTATGGTGGAAAGTACACTTAGCTTATCCAGCTAGTTTACAGGCACTTCACTCAAATACTTAGAACAAATAATTCAAATACAACATAACAGGATTAAAAACCCCAACTGGCAATTAAGAGGTAACCAGTTGGCTTTTTACAAGCGTGGCTGAGGATTTAAACTCGGGATGACCGAGAACAAATCCAGCAAGTCGCCAGAACAGGACTCGAACCTGGGACTGCCAGATTGCGAGTCCGACGCACTGGCCACTCAGTCCTGCATAAGTGTTGTGTTCACACCTTGAGGACCTTATATGTAACTGTGTACATGGTTACTCCATTTTGCCCTGTCAGACGCCATTTTGCAGTGAGCCTAGCAGCAAGTTCAAAGCAGTGGGCTGCCCCAGAACTTACAAAAGGGGACCCGTTTCTAGCGTGGGTACTTGAAAAAAAGGTTGTGTTCACATTAGTGCCTAGCAAATACTGCACTTGGGCACCAAGTGTGAACACTACCTAAGAAAAATTGGAGGGAGCCCTGTGCTCTAAACCTGTAAAATGCAGGGTGCCCAGCATAGGATATCTAGTCCCAAGAGCAAAAGTAAGGCATCTGGGGCCACCAGGCACAGCCCTGATTGGGATACTAAATGTTCTGCTGGTTTAGTTGCTTTTCCATTTAAATTTAGCTTGAGAAAAACAGTAGAAATTTCATGAAGCCACCAACACTGAAACAAATTTTCAGTCAATCAGAAGCACTACCCAGATCTTGCATTGGTAGTGACAATTCACCAGTATGGAGTTTCTGCACTCCCTCCTCAGGGGTAATTTGATAAGGAAACTGTTGGTGCATTGCAAAATGCCGGCTGTTTTTTCAGGCTACGTCCAAATTCAAACTGAACCCTTTAAGTTCCAAGAGCGACCAATGTCCATTTTCTCCTGACGTTGTCAATACATAATCAAGGTAAAATGTTGTGAGAATTATTACAGTCAAGGCAGGTCAAGCGTAGCCCCAAAGATTGTATTAATGAATCGATTATTTGAAAAATGAATCTGTTAGACGTTGCCGCAACCAGTGTCAAATTCAAATCTGCATTCTTGCATGCATAATGATCTCTGAGTTTTTCACGATAACTCCTCTGTATTCAGTCAGATTGAAAAATGTTTGAATGGAAAAAATTGTTTGAAAGAATTTACATCAAATTCAAGAAAACTGAGCTGGCAGAAATGTCATGACTACCTCACTCCTTGCGTGTGAATTCACTGCTCATTACGTATGCAGGAGTGCTGAGATGAAACTGAAATCTACAACCACCAATGGATTCAAATAACAAATTCATTAATGCCATCTTGGGGGGGTACGCTTGACCTTCCCTGGCTGCAAAATAATCCTACCAGCAAAGGGAAAATGATTTGGTCTTCTATCAAATTCTCTCATCTAATTCTTTAAGAAACTGTGTGGAGATTGGTCTGAAGAATTTGAATTTGGATATTGGGGGTTTAAGGGGCTAGGTTATGAGGGGTTTTACATTTTTTAACAAAGGTAAGCTGAAAGTATAGCTAAGTATTGCCAGTCATCTTTGTGTCGTACTCGGAATTCTAAATGGCAGATATCAACTGACATATAAAATTATTCAAAGAGAAAACAACACAATGATGGTAGTTACAGTTTGGATCATTTTTCAGGACACAGGAGTTAACTTGAAAAATTTGGCTTATCTTTTTTTTTCCAAGTTGTAATTCATTTCCATCCTGGCCGTCATAAAACATACCTTTATATTTGAGGCATAGTAGAAGAGTAATTTTCAATAATTTCATGGTTTTCTCTTATTCCAATGTATTTTTAGCGTTTTAAAGTGATATAGCTGATTCAGGTTGCTTTGGGCATTGGTAATTGGGCACTGGGAATCTATTGTTTTGTATTGACTCAAGTAAACTATTGCACTGTTCTGTATGTCCAAGTAGCCAATGTCCAATTGCCAAAACAACCTTTATTGAGTTAGGTATATAAAGTGAATACATGATGACATAGCTCCTTTGAGAATATTTATATTAATTTGTTTTCATTCTTCTTAGTTTGTGAGTTCATGCTTTTGTAAAAAAACTCAATGGAAGATATATCTGTTGGTTTTCAGCCACCATATTGGCCCCTCTCAGAGAGACGCCAACATGGCATCCCCATACAAATACATCTGGATGTGAAAGGGGTACCATTTGTCATTAGAAGGTTTACGAAAGGGTTACCTCTCAAAAATGGTATATTTTAAAAAAGGGGAAGGAGTTGTGCCTCAGGGCAGAGCCTCCCCACATAAAACTTTGGGCAATTGATGTTTCAGGGTAATTGACCACGAAAACCCCGTAATCCCCCTAGCCTGTATCACAGACACTTTAAGCCTTCTGTATAGACAGACTATACTAATTCTAGACGATGTGTGGGCCGACTATCCCCCCTCCCCCCCCGCTCCTCTAAGTCAACATTAACACTTACTTCTCACTTAAGGGAGGGGGAGGTGGTGAGTCACCCAGAAACCCCAATTGATCCAAAGTTTGTTGAGTGCCCCCCCCCCCCTTGTGGCTCCCATGCACAAAACGTGCTACCCCTTAGTTTAACTTACAGTATATTCTCTTACCCAGGCTCTAAACTGACCAAAGGAATTCTCAAACTGGCCGATACTCTCACCAAAACGGCGAAAGGCAAGTCGTCAACTGAGAAGCAAGCAACATCACTCACCTCAACTACAGAAATCCTAAGTGAGACAGATAACAGCGCTACCAACGGGTCAGCAGAAAGAAACTCTTCTACTGACGGTCAAGTTAGTTACGTTGACCGACCATCGTCGATAACTGACAATCTGTTGAATAAAGATGACGAGAATAAGAAAGACGAGTTGGAGGTTGGTATGGAGAATGAAGGAGCGGTGAGTGATGATGGAAACCAGGACGGTGGTTATCTTGTCCTCAGAGAAGCTACTGTTGAGGAGAAAGAAGTTGAATTAAAAGTGCAACAGAAGATAGAGGCGCTTAAGAAAGGAGAGGAACCGGTGAGCTATTGTTGTTATTGTTATTGCAGTTGTCTTATCTTTTCATGCGAAATTATGGGGTGTCTACGAAAAATCAGAAAAATGAGTGGCACTCCTGTCACGGTTTGCCTGTGAAGATTCAAACCCTTGCTTGCCTTGAGCCACTGGGTTAGTATTCCTTGTTGTCTTAATCGTTACGTTGCAGTGGAAGCGAATAAATTAAAGGTTAAGATTAGGGATTTTTTTACCTGTGCTTAGTACGCCGGCCTGTTTCAAGGTAGTTTGTGGGCGGCCATTTTGACAGAGACGAACACTGCGAGGACTGGGGCCGACATTCCTATGGTAACAGTTCGGAAAAGTTCGGAACCGAAGTTCTGAATTGATGTTTTACCTTCGGCCCGCGATCGGAAATCTGCATAAAGCGACTATTTAAAGGATGCTAAATTTGTATTAAACTAGTAAAAAGGTGCACCTCTTCTACTTGCAACGAAAAAGTATACTGATCAAAAGGGAAAAAACAACTTGTTTTGTTGTGGTATAGCTGTAAATTCATTCGGTTAGTACAATGAAGGCATAGGTAACAATTTCCTTACTGTGTATTAAGGGAAGATAAAAGATGATAAGAGTGTTAATTGGTGTTAATGTATGGAATTGCGGTCATGATTTTATTTTATTGGTGTTGATTAATTTTTAAACACATACTTCCAAAAGGGCTTGAGGTGCGCTTAAGCGTAGAAAGAAAAACATGCAAAATATTACAAAATTTCCCATGGCTACTTGTCTCTCTGTAACGTATCATGGCCGTTACATTATTGTAAGTAAGCAACCAAGAAGAGAGATTTGAACGTGTATATATATTTAGTTTTAAACTTTGTTTTTCTTGCTTGCATTTTAAGATTGGAAAGAAAGAAGTATCACAAGGGATTTTAGCCAAGAAAAGTTTGTATGAAAATAACAACCAAATGGAAGAAAAATCGGGTGTAAAGAAAAGCACCACTTCAAAAATGACGAAAGAGAACGGATTGATCGAAAAGAAAGAAGTTGTTGTGGAAACGAAAGACGCTGAAACTAAAAAGGCTGACGCGAAAAACACTGTCGAGAGTCGTAACAGAAAAGAATCGCAGTCTTACGGTAAGCAATGCTATCGTATTACTCCTCCAAATTGTGAATATTTTTTATTTTATTATTATATGAAAAGAAAAATGGTTATTTTTTTCACGGCAGCCATGTTGGTGGTCAAGAAAGAACAAAGCATTTCTCTCCTCTGGGAACTAAACTCCATTTTCATGTAAATTCTTCGATAATAAATCTGTTGTTTTGGCCTCCAACATGGCCGCCTTGTCACGTGGTTGCAAACCAAAAATAGGCATATATGCATTATTCAGTGATGGATCCGGGGGTGTAGTTTCTGCAAGTAACGACCCACCCCTACCCCCCAAAAAATGCTCCCTGAGACAAACGAATTTTAGAAGTGAATTTGTCACCACTGAGTAGTAGTCATACACACAACAGTGTCCACAAGTAAAGTCTCTGGATCTGCCTCTGTTATCTGAGGAAAGTTTTCTACAAAATTTGATCTTCCGTACAAACTTTCGATGGATAGTTCCTTTTGTAGCAGCATACTAGCTATTTCTTATTATTTCTGTAAGTGTAGAGATCACATTATGAGCAAAACTACACGTAACCCAGGGGCGGATCCAGGATTTTTTTTAGGAGGGGGTGCACTCGTCTCTTGCTCTACTTCAACACCAATAAACCACATAGTTTTTTTTTTTGGCACAATACTAGTTGTATTAGAAAACCGCAGGTTACCCAGTTTTGGCCCCTTAAAAGACTGACAGTAGCCTGAATTTGTGGTTACCCAGTGGCAGTTAGTATACTGTATATCGTTTTGTTTAAAAAGAAGTCGTCATATTCCAATCCTAGAACGTACGTTCGCTAAGCCGCCGTCGTATTTCGAAGTTCGCGCTTTCGCCGCTCGCCACTAACATGTATGTGTTCCATGAACGGAACCACCCCGCTAACTCTAAAAAGAACAGTTAGAGTGTACTCGCAGCCTATGGTAAGCGAAGTTTGCACTGCTGAGCTCTTATTGGCTGAAAAAATTGTGCTGCCTTGCTAAGCAATCGGATGAGAAACCACGCTTTCATTCCCACGCTTGGCTTCGAAATATACCATAGTACTCTTTTAAGTGCCATTTTTGGTGGCCGATATTCATGTAAACCTGACTGTAACAATGTCCATTGGTTTTGGCGCGAAATGCACGTGCTGTGTCTCGATTTAGTGATACCCGTATGTGCTCATAATAAAGTTTCTCTGATCAACTTGTAAGATATCCTGCCGATACAGCCGCCTCGTATCGCTCCCCGCCGTTGGGAAGTTTCGTGAAACACCCCAAGCGGTGGTGAACGATGAGAGGGGGGTATATACGCAGGCTATTTATAACCTGAGGAAAGAGTTGTTGTTGACCTATTTGAAGTTATTTTTGTGCGTTTTTGTTATAGATCCAGACAGAGAACGACAGGAGATGGAAAAAACAGAGATGATATTCCAAGAGTACGCTAAACAGTTGAAAAAGGATGGAAATTCCAAGGAGAAGAAACCCTCGTTGGTCGCTCTGAACAGGCTTAACTTCGAAGACCCGGAAACTGTTCCTAAAACCAAAGAGAGCTTGGCAAAAAGCGAGGGCTTGCAAAAGGAAAAGGAGGACCTCTTGAAAAAGCTCGACAACCTTAAAAGGAGGGTATCGGTTGCAAAAGACAGGAAAATTTTCTTTAACTTGTCGACCAGCAAGTCTAAAGCTACCACAGATGCGGATGCCGAATTTCACGAGTCGCAGTGTGAGTTAGCAAGAACCAAGAAAAGGCTACTGGAAATTGAGAGCGAAGCAAAGAATCTGAAGGTTATGGAGTTGAGGTATCAGAAGACGGCAGATAAAAAAGCACCGGTGAACCCAGCCAAGCCACTTGATCGGAAGAACAGTAAGGAATGCAAGCTGGGATCGGCGGACGGACATGGCACAAAGGTTGATTCCAAGGCGAGCTCCAGTCCAGACAGTGAACGTACGCAGAAAGGAAGTGTGTTGTCACAGATCAAGGTAAGGAGAAACTGAACTTGAAGTTTAGGAATAAGAAAAAAGAAACTGGAAAACACAGCTATGGTGAATTTTGTCATATAGTCGTCTCTCTCTTAACGGACACCTGTATGAGGCAGGTACCTGGGGAAAAAGGTGACACCTAGAGTTAGTTCCTGCCTGTTTTTACTCCCTTGGAGTAAGAACAGAGGGCAGTCTCACATAGTGAGTGAGCAAGCTTAAGTTCGCCCTTACGGTTATAGACCATGAAGGCCAAATGCAGGACTATAGTTGCTATATCCTGTAGACTCTGATATCAACATAGATATTCTTCACGCTGTTTCCATTGCATCTTCCCCTCCCCTCCCTTTTCTATCCCTATCGTGTTGACGGCCTTTGAGCTTTTGACCATGGCTGTAATGTTAGAATGATACAAGCAGAGTTGTTTATATTGCTGTTTTTGCAGCGCAAAATTTATGATGTCGCTGTTTTGTCCTTCACAAATATCTCTTTTTTAACCTTTTAAACTCACATTTTTTCAGGCTTTTGAACAGATGAAGAAAACAAGTGAAAAATAACTGCAGGGCTGTTCCTCATCACGTATAAGCAGATGGACTGAAAAAAGGAGACGTTACTCGCAGAGAAATACATTTTACTTCTCTTTTTCTAGCAAAGGAAACACCTGAACAAGCCGAAAATAGCCTGCCGCGCGCGTAAGACTTGTTACACGGGCGTATGGTATAAAGTATTTCTCTTTACTCTCGAGAGACTCTTTTCCCTTCTTTTTCGGTTGCGTGTTTCCCTTGCTCTTTTATCTCTAACCAATGATTAAGCTCTGCGTTCTGGGAAATCGCGAGAGTGGAACATCACCTGCGAGTAGACCGCGAAAGATTTTGTTCGTCTCGCGCGAATTTCATGCGTGGAGTTGTTCCCTTCTACAGTCTTAGCAAGCAGGTGATACTCTTACGACAAAAAAATACAAATACTTAGGCTTAATACTCTCTTGCCATCATCAAACGTTTCCCAAAATTCGTTTTAGCTTCGCATGTCTAGATTTCATCCTTGGTGGACATTCCGTCGTTTGGTCTTCGGGTAGGTACTTTATGCGCAATGGACAAAATGTAGGCCAAGATTTGGTAAACTGCTTCCAGACTACTTAGATTCCTGGGTCATTTAGCAAAAAGTATCTTTCTTTCTGTGTTCATTAACTTCGAACAGGGAGTAGAAGAAAATGACACAAATTTCTTCGTTATAAAAATTCTCAGGTTTTTGGGTATTTTTCAAGTTAAAGTGTCGACGTTCTTGGCATCGCTCTGTCTTTTTCTTAGGGAAAACTTAAATCGGTTTAAGAAACTAAATTTCAAGCAGAGCAAAGACGTTGTGTTTCATTTATAACGTTGCTTTTCAAAGACGAGATTTAATTTTTAGTGGCGTTGTTTAATTTTAAACATTCTTTTTCGTGTGTGTGTTCGAAGAAGGAAAGGGCTTTATAATGATGTTATGTAAAGGTCGTGTTTTTGCTGTTGTTAATATATAAACCAGTTTAGTTTACATAGATGCTAGTTACAAATAAGTACTTTTTTAGTTATCATTTCTTTAAAAATTTTGTTAATGTATATACTAAGTTGTTTGCATGGCGAGACTAGACGAACCCCAAGTACATTTTTTTGTATATATGAATCTTAGTTTTGTATGAGAAAGCTTACGCTGAGATTTACAAAAGTTTTAAGAACATACTAAGATTATACTCAGGCTGAGAGTCGTTTTCAAAACGTCTTAATTTTGCTTATTTTCCGTGAGTAGAGCATAAATATAAAAGGTAAAACAAATGTAAACCTGAAAACGTGTAAAAGGACCAACTCAAATACTTTAGGACATTTTACAATGTGGTTTTTTTATTACAACTTTAAGAACATGTTAACGTTTTCAGGGTCAAGTCGCAAAGAAAAAAAAAAGAAATAGATAAATAACTGGAAAAAGAATGCTCAGTCCCAGCCCCAAAATTAGACGTTCTTCTATAAAAGAAAGAGTGTGAATTGTTTCCTTTCTATTGCTGTTATGTTTTTCATTTTTTTTTTCTTTGGGACACTATTAGGAATGGCGAGTGGCATATACATGAAAAATGGTGGGACTCGGAGAATTTTAATCCGATTTTGAAAGCTCAGAACTGTTTGAGTTTGGTCTGCAATTCTCAGGCCGGGTTAGTGCGTTTCTGTTTTCTCGGAGTTCCCGAACTTTTTCCAGCGAGATTAGTGGTTTTTAAATCAGGGTCTTGACGTCCGTAATTATTCGTCACCCCTAATGCTGTCTCCAATGTTTTTTTTGTTCGTTGTACTTTTAAAACATGAAATATATAGTAGTATGTAAATACGTTATTATTATAAATTTAGGAGTGATTTAGCTGCTTCTTTAAAAAATATTTATTCTAGAAGGCCAAGAAACGACATATCCGGCAAGAGAGGCACAATATTTCTTTAAAATTTGATAACATTTAAGGTTATTGTCCTTTATTCGCTAAATTGTATTTTTATTTCCTTAAGGCGATTGACGTTCATGTAACTGTAAAAGCTTACAACAATTTATGTAGTGTATTTTCTTGTCCAAATGTAGAACAACAGAATTCACATTTTTGCGAGGAATTAACTGTTCATTTCACATGTTTCATTGAGCGTACTAACGAGTTTTTGTGTAAGACAATAATTTTGTGTTCTCGTTTTAGAGAGTACACTTTTTCGGAGAACAAAGATCGATCATTGTTGTTTTTAATTAACAATAAATGTAACTGAAAATGACTATATTCTGTGTATATTGAATTTTTTATTCATTCAAAATATTGCCCCATATTAGGAAATCTAAAGGCCTGTTTACAAGTAGGTGGGGGACCCTAGGTAGGTGAGAAGGGTAACCCACCTGTCCATATAATCTGTCATTTTAATTTGATCACGTGTACATGCATATGATAGGTGGGGTGACCGCCACATGTTACCTCACCTATCTGGGGTCCCCCACTTCCATGTAAACAGGCTCTTAAGACAGCCTTCGATTCCACGCCGTGGATTCGGGATTCTTTGTCGTCGGAACTTGGACGCCGGATTCCAATCGTTAGTAGGATTCCGGAATCCTTGAGCTCTATTTCGGATTCCAAAACCAAGGATCTCGCATTCCAGAAGCAAAAATTAACCGCATTCCGGAATCCCCATTCCCTTACACGGGGCGAAAAATATTTCTCCGTCTCTGATTGATGAGGCGGGGAAAGGTCGGAGGTGTACGTATCAAGATTCAAACCCGAGTCTTCCTGGGGCCTACAACCCTGGTCCAAACATCATGGGTCACTTTAGGAAATTATTAAGCGCCAAGACACCCTTTGCCAAATTAACTCATATCCTACCTCTTAGGCTTAAGCTTACGAATGTTGTTATAAGAGCCCATTTCTGCTGCCCCCGTTTCCCCCAAGCAGTGTTGATTGTGATGAAACAAAAGTTATATGCCTAACGTCAACACTGCACTGGGGGGGAGGGGGGGTGGGAAGAAGGGAAAATACCTCATTTGCGCGAGCTATTGCGTTAGTGTTCCAAGAGTTTTGACCAGGGTTGTGAGTATGATTTTTGATAATTAGAAACTGTGCAACTATGTAGCATGACTCTTGTCGTCTCTCCAGTAGCTAGCTCGACTTAACATGTTTCTTGAACTATCTTATCCAGAGAATAAGAACTCCATTTCTAAGTATTTTATGGCGTCTCGAACAAACAGCCTTTCCCTGACAGGGAACTTCCAGAAAACAGGCTGAAGTTAACTACAAAAGGCTGCCTTTGGGCAGTTTTTACTACAAAATCAGTAAAGAACTGCGGTACGTGGTTGAAGGCATCGCGATTAATAACCAAGTGACTATCGTGAGATGAACGGTAAATAGTCTGATTAATCCCTAAGATACATTGCCATGGTAACTGCTAATGACAAAGTGACGCTTGTTTTTAGCCAAACATGTATTATATACATCCACCTCTACAAAAGTGCTGCTACAGCTTTGGTTTTCTTTTTTTCTCTGCCCTTTTAAAGTTAAAACCATCAAAAAAAGTGAAAACGGACACGAGCCACCTTAATGATTTTCATACTAAACGCGATAATTATGATACATTATTTTTCAATCAAAAGAACAATTTTCCCAAATCTTTTAAGAAAATCCATGCCATGCAAATTCTTTAAGCGGGACATAAACACATTTTCAATTGCCAAGTATTTAAGGCTGTAATAATTTCATTTTGGCCTTGTTAGTCGTTTAGCCTTTTTACGGCTTAGATTTTTAGCCGTCAGCCTTTTATATTTGCGTAGTAGTTTAAAAATCTATTTTAAGTTTGATTGTAATTAATGATAATAGTTTTCAATATTACTGATACGATCTAATTGACGACCTCTTGGCATGAAAACCACTTCGTGTGACGGGAGCTTATTTTTTTTCTATTATTATTATTATTTTTATTATTATCATTATCATTATCATTATTATTGTTATTGTTATTGTTATTGTTGTTGTTGCTGTTTTACACACATTTTCCGCTTGAAAATATCGCACACATGACAAAGTCGTTGACCCAGAGAATAGGGACCTTACGATCCGACAACGCCGACGTTCATGAAAACGTCGCTGAAAAATAGACTTCGCACCCTTTTAAACTTTTTGGCGATTATCCCAATTCGCCCCGTTACTTTAAAGAAGAGAATTTTGGTTGGAGCTGAAGAGAGGGGACCTCGACCGAGTTCAGACAGAGATGGTAAAACATATCGCCTTGCCGTTCCCGTTCTCAAATAAACTTAAAATCAGGTCATTTCGCGTCGTAGTTGTGCAGGGACAGCAAAGAAATGTACAAAAAAGCGTGATGCACGTGCAGAGTTGTTGTTTTTCTCATTGAACCTCTTGCTATTTTGACGTTCTCCTTGCCGTCGACGTCGTAGTTTCGTAAGGTCCCTAATGTTGCTTTTACAACATCCTCGGAGACCCAGGGGCAGTCAGTCGGGTCGGGAGAAAAGGCGGGACGAAAGTGTTCAAATTCTCCCGACCCGACTGACTGCCCTCTGGGTCTTCGAGGATGCATTTATACCAAATCAACGACAGACAAACGAAACACCAATTTGAATAGATTGTAGCGACACACTGACGACACAAAATTTAGCAGGTCCCTGAAGCTTCCCTCCAGGACTTTAAATTTCTACACAATGTTATTATTATCAGTAACTTCGCAAGGACGATCGCAAGGACTTTAATCACCAGGCTGTACACCAAAAATCAAATGTGAAACTTTGTATGTCGAATTAAAAATCAAATTGCTGTCCAAGGAAGCGCAGCGAAGTGTCGCCACAGGCTCTTAACAATAATCCATGAGCCTTTTTTACGAGCAACGCTTGGGCGGTATTTAACTGAATTGATCACGCAAAGTTTGCACCCACTATTATGGCAGTTTTTCCGCTTTTACAGTTGACTTCTCATGGCTATTGTAGACCAAAGTCTACATCCTATAAAAGATAGCGTGTGTCCCGAACATTATGAGGCGTCGTTAAAAGAACCTTTCAGCTCGGGTAACGAAGCAAAGCATGGAGAAGCCGTGGGCGAAAGGGAAACAAATTAAAAAGCTGCAAAAACGCTGTTATGGCGTATTTGAAATGGTTTTTTAATTTGAACTTAATCCGCTGTTCACGTGAACGCAAAATGTAATCACACCGTGATCACGCCGATCTATATGACTTTGAATACAGTCAAATTATTTTGAAGGAATTGTTTGCGTCTTAATTGATGTTCTAGTCACCCAGGCCAGATCGTTGTACGTACTGTCTCACAGCCGTCCAGCAATATATTGCAAGCCCAAACCAAAAAAAATCTACGTTTAGTGATCTTGCAAAAATTGAACCACCAACGCATGACGCACCACTGTTACTGATTATTGAAATAAGGACAATTTTCCGCTTTGGATGCAAATTTTTTGATTGCCCCGCGGCACCAAACAAAAAACTCATAAAAACAAATGTAGTCGTCAAGAGAATCCCTCACTTTTTTGTCCTCAACTATTCGGGGAACCAAAGTAACACTAAAGTGACGGGTTCTTTTGATAGTTTCTAAACTGCGTTTTAACTTGTTTCTTCCCTCTCTTGTTGCTGTTTGACCATTTGTTTAGACGCTGTATCATGTCAGTGTACTGTGAAGTTAATGGCTCATTACCTGGCCACTCTAACTGATGACCGTCTTTATTCTTATCACTTGAAAGCTAGTCAGGGTATCTGTTAGTGCCGGGAGAAATTACATGTTAATCAGTGTTCTTTTGTGTGTTGTAAATGGGGTTAAATAGCGTTGTAACCCTAGGGCGTTCACCATAGTGTTCACTCACTCTTCACGTCCTGCGAGATAGACAACTGTGCGCTGTTGACTTCGTTGGATCGCAAAGGTGATGAAGATTTTAGCTGTGATTTTAATTTTCTGCGCTTTAACTAGCGCTAAACCTAAATTGACGAACTTCAGAAGCGAGAATCAAGATCCTGTTGAGGAAATTGAAGGATTATCGGAAGGTATTTATTGATAACCATATATCACTTGTTTGCTCTTAAAATTGGTTTACCACAATACTTAAAACATAAAAACCAGCATAAAATATGCTCAATGGAATCGATTCTTTTTGAGTTACATGAGTAATTCAACGCAAGGGTTTTGGCATGTCAGTTATTTGGTTTTAGTTTAATTCGCATCATTACGCTTGATTTATAATTTGCTACAAGGAAAAAAAGCATGAAGGCTTAAAGACAGATATTAGTAGCTGAAAAATCCTCAGACTGAAAATAACTAAAAGATGAGCTGAATATACGAGAAAATGACCCTTTATACCCGTTCGAGTTTTAATTTTATGCTCCAAACCGAAATCGATTATAGGGCGGCAATTGCAAAATCACTGTTATCGCGTCACGACTCGCATACTACAAATTTGCTCATTTTGAAAACAGAAAGTTGTTTGCCTGTTGATACACTGAGTTAGCCTTGGAAGGTGCAATCACTTCCTCATGCAACTATTTAGTACGTATACTTGCTTCGAATCTCATTACATCGTGAGTAGCAATCAACAGAATATATACCGCGGTGATAAACAAAACCAAGTTAACTTGAATCAATTAAGAAAACGGTCCAATCAAATGATTCACGAAACGGAATTTAGACTGAGCTTTTATTAAAATAAAAAATTTTTGGTCCGTTTTGCGTTCTCCGGAATTCTGGGGGTTTTATTCCCTTCTTGAACTCGCTCGAACCCGAAAGGGTGAAATTGATCGATTGCTGATTCGTGTTTCATCGGATCACCAAGAGACTGTATTAAATAACCCAATAAAGTATATTTGATAACAAGATCAGTATAGTTTATAATGTTTCCTCACGTTCGCTGTCTTATCTGAGTATATAGCTTTGAACAAGAACGCAAAAAAGCAAATTCGTTTATCAACAAGACAAATTTCCGCTTTCCACACTGGAACTAACAAACGTTCTTTCTGAAAATTGTTTCATTGTTTGGCTGGTTCCACGAGTGTGCAAGACGAAGCGAGTCCTGTCTTCTACCCGACCGTGCAAAGGTGGGCCTGTCTTGCCCACTTTAATTTGTCTCTTAAGGAGAGATTTTGGTTTGGCTATACGATAAATCCTTTATCGGCCAAGCTTGTTCGGTCAGGATGGCTGAATATTGGCCTCGTTCGTTTTTATATGCTTCACTTGAGTTCATACCAATATTGGCCAATATCTAGGGATATTGACCAAACACGTGGTCAAGTGGGCGTAGTTCTCATCATCATGCATGCATAAAACAGCGTAACTGACAAAGGACAAGCCTTTGAAAACCGGGTTAGCAAAAAAAACTCAACTCATTCTACTACTTGGCAATTTAAGACAATAAGACATCTTTCAAAGGCCGATTAAAAGCCTTTATTTGACGCCGGGCTGTAAGTTAGTGGTTACTAGAAGTATTTCAACGGCTCCAAAATAGAAATTCGCGAAATTCTGTCTACAGCCACTTCTACACAAATCCCTAACCACAAAACGAACAAAAAAAGACATAAGCAAATAACTCAGTAAAGAAGCTATTAGACAGGGGAATTGAGAAATTACAAAATGTTTGCTAACCCGGTTTTCATAACTCCAGGTAGATATACGTTTGTCGTTTCCTGAGGGCAGAGGCCTCTTACAAGAAAAAAAAGACCTCTGCTATCGGTGTAAGTCTAACCTGAGATCAGGCCCAACTTTAGCAGCTTCCATACATTCTCTTTAGCCTCCCACGCAGACGTTCTTAGGGGTTCGTCAAGCGTTAGAGGCGTAGGAACGCGTGACGAACCTCTAAGAACGTTTGCGTCAAAGAGGCTACTAACATTCTCTCTTACTTGGTCGCGTTTTCGTTTCGCCTTTCCCGCCAGAATCATTTTTAATACCAAGCGAAACGAAAATAGAGCCTGATCTCAAGTTAGCTTAGTCTAAATTAGATAATCATTTAATGCGTTCGACGAAGTTAGTCAGTTAATCTCAGCATTCATGTGGCTTTAGAGGTAGTGGAATTGGGGGAGGGGAGGGGAGGGAGAGTAGTGAACAATTAACTTCAGTCATAGCAAAGACAATAAATGTACTTTTTATTCACAGATGAAACAAAAATCACTGAGCCCCTCGGGTCGGATGCTACAGGTGAATTGGAGGAAGTTGTCGATAACACTGCGACTTTTGGTGATGGGCTGAATGACCACAGTGAGGGAAGAGAGGGAGAGGAAGGATCTGGCGTGAATCCAGCAGGCGCCGGTGGACAATCTCCCAGCCCCCGTATAAAATGTTTGATCTGGAAATGTGCTTATATTTGTCATCGCCACTTTAAAAGTCATCCATTTCGTTGGTGCGTTCATCGTTGTGTATTACACTTCTATTGTAAAGCCCATCCATCGAAGTGCTCTAAGAAAACACCTGCGGATGAGAGGCAAGAAGGCATTCCTTTTATTGAAAAGGAGTCCGCTGAGGCTTGATACAGTCCAGGCAATCAATATATACGGTAAGACGAGTAGTTTCGCCACTTCTGCGTACTGTTTCCTAAGACCTAACGCTGCCCAGCCTATGAAGAAAATTAAGGTTTTTATTTTGTATAAAATCACCCTGATAAGCGAAGCCTTTCTTTCGCTCTCTCGATTTTAGCGTACTCAAGAAAGACTCTGCATGAATCAAGTAAGATCTTTGTTGAGCATGCGCTGCATGTTGCTAGGATTGTTTCGAACCCATTCCTTAATTATAGGCGTGCGCGTGGTACAGCAGTTTCGGCTATGACCATCGGTTTATCAATGAACGAATGCTCGTATTCGCAAAAAACCAGATTGACGAGAGAAAACACGATCGACTAGTTCAGAAGTTCTGGCTGTGGTGGCTTCAAAAGCTTGACGCGATTCAGGCAGAACCTTATTTTCTCCTACTTATTCAAAAACTCTGCTTGAGGAGCAGCCTCATACCCAGACCAGTTCGCGCTATTCGAGTTACCGGAGGAGGCTTGGAACCAAGTGCAATAGCGAATTTTCCCAACAAGCTTGACAGGTGACGTCACATCCAAAATCGCCGAGGACGACAAGGAACGAGGCTGCTCGCGTGGTGGTATAAATTAAAAGCTACCAGAAATATGTTAACTGATCTTAACCATAAAATAACGTCTCGCATCCCCCCAGTACAGATTGTCAGGCAAAGTTTACTTTCTTTTTCGTTGTTCTACATACATACTCTGGGACCGTTAGAAATAATTTTTACAATGAAGTCAAGACTCTGATTCCCGAATATTACCCAGTTACCTGTAATCAAACGTTTTGTTCAATGAGCTGATGAACTCATCTAATTGCTTATCCCTATACAATTCATGAAATATATTTCAGCTTGCTTTGTCATTGATCTTCGCGACAATTTATTTACCAAAGTAACTCAGTTGTCCGTTGGTGTAATTTTAGTTCTTCTTCTTATAACTCCAGGGGGAGGGGGGCGAAAAAAAATTTATCTCGCTTCCTCCCAAACCACCCCCGCTCCCTAAGTAGTTTTGACACTCATCCAAGATGGCCGCCCGTAACGCAAAGCGCTCGATCTCGACGATCTTACGGGAAAATAGGGGACTGTGAACAGTCTAAACGCCTTCTTTTAACGCAAGGCTACTAAGGAGCACAATTAGCAACACTATAAGCACTCATCTTTTTCTGATTGCTATTTTATCTCTTTTTTCCTTGCAGACTGGTTATGTCAAGACTTTACAGCGATGCAATGCGTTGTCAAAAGTCATTGATTTTTTTTTTCATTAAAGTGTAATTTTTATTATATGTTTAAACATTTTTTACTCAGTAGACAAGTACAGACGTCCTTTGTATTTTTATTCAGAATTAAATTTTATCCCATGATATTCTAATCTATAACGAGAAGGAGGTCGAACACATCAGTGAACCCTACACACAGACTGAATTTTAAATTTTAAAGTATTACAGATAAAAAAGCCAGAAAGACCAAAGTTTTAAGCGAATTCAGGGAGCATTACGCCCGGTTTACAACATTTACTTCTTTTTTGATCGCCACAGTTAACACGTATTTTATAGTGATGCATGGGAATTTGCAAATATAAAAGCCAAGGGAGTCGCGAGAATTCACGCGAGACCCGCACAGAGACGCGAGTGTACAGCCGCGCGCTCGCGAGGTAAAATTATGCAAATTTTTGGTTTGTTAGGCTTCCACCCTGGTTTTAGTCGCCCATCACGCGCGCTCTCGATCAATTGTGCTCACAACCTACGTGTGACCCGAATGGAGAGCTCATGTTGTCTTTTTCGGTTTAATTGCAAAATACCCACATTACCCAACCACTCAAACAACAGCCTTCGTAGCGGATGGCTCTACCCCTTGCATGACCAAAGGAGGTTCGACTTGATTGCAAAATCAATATACGTAAGAAACAATGAGCTGTTCTTTTTGGGGGAGAAATCGTAAATGCGCTAGAACCCCTGAAGGGAAACGAAAAACAGTTCGAGTTGGCGGGGAATTCGAGTTCCCGGGGTAAATTTCAGAGAGTTATCGAGGTTCTACTGTATCACTAGGTTTCAAGGCCTTAATAATTAATATCACTCGGCTTTTAAAGGAGTTTGAAAATAGGGGAACAAATATCATTGAAATTGGTCATGATTTTTATGACATGTGGTGGCTCCTAAAAGAGCCGTTTTGTTTTAGCGGTAAACCCACGAAGTCAGTTTACTTGCTGCTGGTGTACTTGGTCACAGCCTTGGTTCCTTCACTGACAGCGTGTTTGGCCAGTTCACCGGGCAGAAGCAGCCTGATGGCAGTCTGGATCTCGCGAGAACTGATGGTTGATTTCTTGTTGTAGTGGGCAAGGCGGGAAGCTTCGGTGGCGATGCGCTCGAAGATGTCGTTGACAAACGAGTTCATGATGCCCATGGCTTTGCTGGAGATGCCAGTGTCAGGGTGAACTTGTTTCAACACCTTGTAGATGTAGATGGCATAGCTTTCCTTTCTCTTTCCCCTCCTCTTCTTCTTTCCATCAGATGGAGCCTTTGCCTTTCCAGCTCTCTTCTCGCCTTTCTTTCCTGCAACTTTGGGTGCCATGTCTGTCGATCAGAATGGAAGTGAATGCCTCAGGTTAACACAGAGTCTATTTATAACAAAATCACTAGGGGACCAATTAACATGCGGATCGAAATCCTTAAGATTTAATTGGTTATTCTGTTTGAATATCAATATGCTTTCCGCATACATCATCATATTTCAATAAACACTGAAAACTTTTAAAGCGTGATTGGTGCGTTTCGATCTTATTCAAAATTTGCCGCGCGTATAAACTCTAAAGTTTTTGGCTTAGGTTTATTCACTCGTGTATATTCGAGCTCAACTCTTGACTTGAAAACATGTCTGGTCGCGGTAAAGGAAAGGCAAAGGGCACAAAGTCTAAGAGCCGATCATCCCGAGCAGGACTTCAGTTCCCTGTTGGACGTATCCACCGTCTTCTTCGCAAAGGCAACTATGCTGAGCGTGTTGGCGCTGGTGCACCAGTCTACTTGGCTGCGGTGCTTGAGTATTTGAGCGCTGAGATCCTTGAGTTGGCGGGCAACGCTGCCCGTGACAACAAGAAGACTAGAATCATTCCCCGTCACCTTCAGCTTGCTGTCCGCAACGACGAAGAGTTAAACAAACTGCTCGCCGGCGTCACCATCGCGCAAGGAGGTGTTCTTCCCAACATCCAGGCTGTTCTCCTGCCCAAGAAGACTGAGAAGAAAGCAAAAGCTTAAACAGTGCTTCCCTGATTTCTAAAACAAACGGCTCTTTTAGGAGCCACCACATATTATAAAAGTCTTGACCATAAGCAGAACTATATATGAACTTAGTAGATACCCCCTTCTTCGAATGCGTCGATGAAGCCAGCAAGAAATCCCTTGTGCACTGATCTTTCATTCTTTTCAGTAAAAATTGCCTAAATAAAAATTTGAAAGCTATGCTCGGTTCATTGCTGAGTTTTTTAGTATTGGTCATCACTTCCTTGCAATTACGGGTATACATAAATTTTAGAAAAGGTACGTAGAAACCCGGCGTAGAAAGCGGTGACTTCACAACGTGTAGAAATCGGGCGAACTGTATTGACTCCAGTCAACCTTTACGATCGTACCGAATGCAAATCAGTTCCGTTACCGACGCGCGCAATTTATATTGAATTATAACGGCGTCCTTTACGAAATTGATTGTCGTTAGCCACAAACTGACGATCTTTAGGAATAAATAAAGATTATTTTTTAAATTTACTCATATTCCATTACTAACGTGCGGTTCATTGGTTATGACTGGTAAAGATTTGGTGGCTCCTAAAAGAGCCGTTTGTTTCAGTGTGTAGCGCAATGATCTAGCAGCCATTCTTACGTTTAAAACGGTCATGGGTCACCCAGGGTATCAAAGTTTATCGGGTATGCATAAATTTAAAAAAAAAAGCGGTTCAATGCCACATATTTATAAAGAGTAGAAATTGCGCGAACTATAAGATCAGTGAAAGATGACTCAGTAGACTAAAGTAAGTTCGAATACTGGTTGATGACAATGTTGGTTTCTGATGTCTGGTAAGGTTAACGTTGCAGAACACTTTCGCTCTAATACTGAGTTCCACTGAAGACAACTGTGACGATCTTAACAAATGCAAATCAGCTGTCACCGACGCGCGCAATTTAAATTATAACGGCGTGCAGTTGGTTGCTTTTAGGCAAGAAGTAATTATCCTTAAAAACTCGACAGCAAAATTACACAAGAATGAAAGCGATTATTTCTGAAAGTTACTTATATTCCAAAATTTAACGTAAATTCTTTTACTACTGTAATACTTTCTTCAGTGCCCAAACTAACGAGAGGTATATATTATGGCAAAGAAAACACTTTATTGGTTATGACTTTTAGAGATTTGGTGGCTCCTAAAAGAGCCGTTTGTTTGAGTGTGTAGCTCAAAGATCTAGCCGCCAAATCCGTACAGAGTACGTCCTTGGCGTTTCAGAGCGTACACCACATCCATGGCCGTCACAGTCTTGCGTTTGGCGTGCTCGGTGTAGGTCACAGCATCACGGATCACATTCTCAAGGAAAACTTTGAGAACACCACGAGTCTCTTCGTAGATCAGGCCAGAGATTCGCTTGACACCGCCACGGCGAGCAAGACGACGGATAGCTGGCTTGGTGATGCCTTGGATGTTGTCACGAAGAATCTTTCGGTGACGCTTGGCGCCTCCTTTTCCTAAACCTTTGCCTCCTTTGCCGCGACCAGACATGTTGAAACTCTTTCTCGGACAAGAAATAATAACTCAAAACACGAGTTTCCGTCTTTTTATACTAAGAAGAATGACCTCACGGAAAACACGCTATAAAAGAAATAATTTCTTGTTCTTGATTGGTTAGAACAGACAAAAGAGTCAAAGGGTCAAGCTAATTATTACCATACTATTGCCTCACCAGAGACAAGCGCGAACATGTTAAAGGAGCCAAAAATCACCATTATCGTTAAAACTCTTGCGATGTAACGCGCAGACTGATTTTATGATGATAGTTTCTTACAATTAACAACGAAAACTTAAGAATAATTGTTTTCTATAAATCAAGAGAACCTTATGTGACTTATAGGATCGCAATGCAAGCCTAAATCATACCAATATTTTACGAGCAGTATTGGTTATCCAATGAAATCGCATAGTTTACAACCAATCAGGAAAAAGCGCGCTAAGTATAAAGTATCGTGTAAGGAATATTGCATACATCATTCGTTGACTTTTGAGTTTATAGCAGAAATGGCACGTACAAAGCAAACTGCCCGTAAATCGACTGGTGGAAAAGCTCCACGAAAACAGCTCGCCACAAAGGCAGCTCGTAAGAGCGCGCCTGCCACTGGAGGAGTCAAGAAACCTCATCGTTACAGGCCTGGTACAGTTGCTCTTCGTGAAATCCGTCGTTACCAGAAATCAACAGAGCTGCTAATCCGCAAGCTGCCCTTTCAGCGTCTTGTGCGAGAAATCGCTCAAGACTTCAAGACCGATCTGCGTTTCCAGAGCTCTGCTGTGATGGCTCTTCAAGAAGCAAGCGAGGCTTACCTTGTTGGTCTGTTTGAAGACACCAACTTGTGCGCCATCCACGCTAAGCGCGTCACCATCATGCCCAAGGACATTCAGTTGGCCCGCAGAATCAGAGGAGAGCGTGCATAAGTGCATTGCAATTGCTTCTAGTTCAAAACAAACGGCTCTTTTAGGAGCCACCAAATCAATAAAAGCAATAACCAAAGAAAATTCACTTACACATCTCGAAAGAAAGAAAACTCCTTCTTTGTAAGATCATTAGAACCCTGAAGTCTTGTGTTCCCATTTTTCATAACTTTATCGGGTGTTGTGTTTCTTCAGTTTTTTATTGGACTATGCTTGGAACGAGGAAAATCGAAAGAGAAATTAAATTCTCTCTCAACCTTACTAAAGAATTTTTCGTTGTATTTTTGCTGCACAATTTAACATACCCAAACGACATACAAAGTTTTTTTTATATTTTTCTTAGTGATTTTGGTGACTGAGTTCCCCCTGCTAGCGGCCAGTAAATCCCCCGAGGTTTTTCTGTTTCTGTTTCCGACGAGCTGTATAGACTACGCGTAGTCCCCCATTTTTGCTCAGGGATTAGGCTTTTGTACATTATGGTTTTGCTTCCCTACTAAAATGCTCCACCTTAATGCTCCATTTTTCTCGCTAAAATGCTCGGTCTCCCCAAAAAAGTCACTAAAATGCTCGGTTAATGCTCATTATACAAACGGTTTTTTAAAATTAATTTCAAAGTTTACACTCACAAAAACGTGCTAGTGTTGCAAGTAACAACAACAACGTGTACAAGTTCATAAATACAGCCAAAAAAACAGCTGTATTGGGTTTCTTGTGAATTTTGATTTTTAGTCTTCATTTTGTCTAAAAAAGCAGGAGCTCATGGGGCATGGGCTCCTGAAAAAAAGTTAATTTCCATTTTATTTTCTCGGAAAAATTAATTTTCCGGGGAAAATGCCGCTAAAATGCTCGAATAATGCTCAATGCTTTTGCCTCACTAAAATGCTAGAAAAAATGCCAGCATAATGTACAAACGCCTATCAGGGATAGGAGACATAGTAGAGCGAGCGAAACGCGAGCGCGCGTGAAAATCACCCCACGCGAGAAAAGGTAACACGTGGGGTGATTTTCACGCGCGCTCGCGTTTCGCTCGCTCTACTATCCCTGAGCAAAAATGGGGGACTACTCGTAGTCTACGAGCTGTAAAGACGCTATATACACTTAGTGTAAAGCGGAAATCGTCCATTATTGTCTATGAGGGTTCTCGTACTGGCCGTACGTGTCTCGAAAACTCTTGAATTTCAGAGTTTTTTTCAACGCGTTCAAAGTGCTTGAAATTCTTCTTCATTCATTTTGGTCCTAGAAAGTCCTTGACTTTTGATCGAGGAACATTTTCAAACCTCCAAAACACTTTGGCAAAAACCCGTTTGAAGGCAACAGAATAAAATCGGCATTGAGGCAATGAAGGTGTGCAGGAGTCACAAACGAATTTTCATAAAAATCGCTGCCCTAATTTGGAAGCGGTGTGTGACTGATAGATTAGGTCCTTGAAATTCAGTTAAACCGGTGATGTGAAAAGGCCTTGATTTTTATGGGAAGAAGTGTACCAGCCCTGTCCTTCATTTTTCAGCTTTTATTTCTCCACAACCTTACCCCATAGCTTGTTACCGAAAATAAAACAAATTCTTTGGCAGAGAAACTTGCTTGGCCCATAACAACCACAAAAGACAGTTGGTTACAGCTAACAGGATGGTGAGCCTGTGCAACAGGCATCCCAGCTCATTCCCGCGCTGTGCGAGCGTGAAATCTTGTCTAATGGGTTCCCATGTACTCAGTGATCATAAAATGAAACGAATACTTGATGTGTTTATACCAACATCGTGACAAATGTCTCCTTAAAAGGTACGTATTCGTTTGGCTTAGAAAAGACGAAAAAGCTCAAAGAACTCCCTGGAATCGGCACTTGCCTTGGTGTTTGACAATTCACTGCAGTCAGTGTGGCGTGCAGCGAAAACTATGTTCCCCATGTCCTAGCCAAGACAGTTTCCTGAACGTTTTCGTTAATGTAAGCTTACTTTTTTATGGTACTGAATTAATATTTCCGGTATTTTTACTAGTAAATTAAATCATTATTTCATGACTTAACCTAAGTTTGGGCGATGAACAACAAACATGGTTGCCACAGTTCAGGAAATAGTCAGGGAAAAGGTCATGGTTCCAATAATCAGGGAAATTCACCCCGAGTTGGGGAAAATTTAAGTCTTTGAGAGAAGTCAGGGGAAGGTGAAATTTTAACAGTACATATTTATTCTTTCCCTCTACCGTTAAGCTTTTTGTTTTGTAACATATAAACTACTTTTGAACATTTCACGGACATTAATCATGTTAGAGTATTCATCCAGACCTTCAGATAACGAAGGGGTCCGGTCATCCACACCCCGAGATAGGGGGAGGGGGGGCGGTCTTGAAAAATTTTTTTTCGTCCCTTTGGGCCTCAGTTTGGTCGAAAAATAAGGGGGGGCAGGCCCCTGCCCTGGATTCGCCACTGATTTGGTAGACTGATTGTTCATTAAATTGAACAACAAGCTGATGTTGGGTTTTCAAGAAAATCAATCCTTTTTGCACGTTATGGTAGGAGCTATCAATCTACACTGCATGTAACTTGAAATGGGTGGAGACAGGATGGCTGTGAGTGAAGGTCCATTATCAGGGCTAATTTGCAAAATTGGTGAATTTTTCAGTTGACAGGGAATTTCAAATTACTTACAGAGCTAAAAATCTCTAAAGGGTTGCAAAATCCTAATACACTATTTCAAAACCATACTTGTGCTATGTTCCAATACTAATTTAATTTCTATCTTGTTACACAATAATGCCAGTATGGCTATTTTTTCAATTTTTTTTTTCAGTAAAATACAGAAGTTATTCAGTTAATGGAAAAGACATTCTTTCTCATATTTACCGCCCTTGTCGCAGGGAACCATCACACACCCACCTCATGGAAACTTGGAGCATGAGAGAGTGACCGAGTAAGTGATGGGGTGCATTTATTGTGATAGACAAAATGGGGAGTTGGCATCCCTGAGCTGAGTCTGTTGGGTTGGGAGAAGAAATAGGTATGATGAAAGTTTTTAAGTGCCTTTTCTCCTGAATGGCAACTGACTCGCCCCTGGGTCTCAGACCGATAGGGATTGGCAGAGTGAGTGCAGTTTATGTTTTTTCATGCAGGCAATAGAGATTTCTGATCAACCATCGAACCCTGGTAGTGTACAAACAAGCTAGTGATTTTCAAAGTTTGAATAACATTTATTAATGTAACATGTGGGCTTCCTGTTAGAGGCAGTATCACAGGAATGATAAGTATTATATTATGAAGAATTCCTTTTAACCCTATAAAACCTGATATCAACATATTCAAATTGTCATTTGGGTGTTACTAAAACGAAGACCCAAAAACGAAGACCTAAGACCTAAGACCCCTTGGACTAAAACGAAGACCCTATGGACTAAAACAAAGACCCTATGGACTAAAACGAAGACCCCATGGACTAAAACAAAGACCCTATGGACTAAAACGAAGACCCCATGGACTAAAACGAAGACCCTATGGACTAAAACGAAGACCCTATGGACTAAAACGAAGACCCCTTGGACTAAAACGAAGACCCCATGGACTAAAACGACTGATGCTAATCGCTGAGGGCAATGCTCGCTCCCGTAATTTGTTACGGCGATTTGCGAATGTTGTGGAATTTCCTCTGCAGTATTTAGCGGAAAATATTTTGCATGTTTTAAACCTCTTTGGAAGTGTTTACGGTGAAGATGACGTCAGTTTTATTTAAATTAATTTGAAAGCTTTTTGCAGGGTGAAGGCGAGAGAGCTCTCTCGTGTGTCGTGTGGTCAAGTATAATGCGCGTGTGGTTATAATGCGATTGGCGTGACAAGCCCAAAGGTCATCAGTGTGTTCATGGAAGGCCTAGACAATCAAAAAGGCTTATGACAGGATTTGTCTTGAAGACTTCCGCCAAACGTGTTATGGGCGCGTAGTTGGGGTTTGAGGGAGGAGGGGGTCCATTCGCTTTCTGATATTTTATGGATCAAAATTCAATGTCGGATGATTTGGGTGTCATCCCGGGTGTACTGTAATGAGTTAAGAAAATATAACCGCGTGCTCCAGCTTTCTAAAATGTCGAAGAATTGTATCAATGCATTTAAAAAAACAAAACAGTGACAACACGTAGTACAGGGAGGGAATTTCTCATTGACGAATTCAAGGACAGAGGTACCTCGCGCTCTAATTATTACTTTTTACCTCATCAATAGGGAAAAAAAGCCTTCGATCTAGAACATTACTCGAGTACAGGTTAACATTTCTAGTTTCATTTAAGCGAGTTCATTTGTCTTTATGCCGCGTTTTAGTTGTTTTATTTATATCCCTGTCATACGCTGTTACGATATTCTGTCCTCTATTGTAGAAAAATGGTTAATCTTTACGGCTTAAACAGTTGTTTTTATGATAACTGTGATAAAAAAGTAATGATAATAAAAGAAAAAGAAGGAAAAAGACCTTTGTGTCAAAATTACGGTTTTACCACTGGGCCACGAGGGCACTCTCGCCTCTGCCATTCAAAAAGCTTTGATTTAAATAAAACTGACGTCATCTTCACCGTAAACACTTCCAAAGAGGTTTAAAACATGCAAAATATTTTCCGCAAAGAAACCTGAAGGAAAGGTAAGTGATAGACTTGACTATCACAACTAAATACTGCAGAGGAAATTCCACAACATTCCCAAATCGTCGTAACAAATTACGGGAGCGGGCATTGCCCTCAGCGGTTAGCATCAGTTGTTTTAGTCCATAGGGTCTTCGTTTTAGTCCATGGGGTCTTTGTTTTAGTCCATGGGGTCTTCGTTTTAGTCCATAGGGTCTTCGTTTTAGTCCAAGGGGTCTTCGTTTTAGTCCATAGGGTCTTCGTTTTAGTCCAAAGGGTCTTCGTTTTAGTCCATAGGGTCTTCGTTTTAGTCCAAGAGGTCTTCGTTTTAGTCCATAGGGTCTTCGTTTTAGTCCAAGGGGTCTTAGGTCTTAGGTCTTTGTTTTTGGGTCTTCATTTTAGTAACACCCTTGTCATTTATCATCCTTGTACATTCTTGATAGAAGAAGTGAGGAGAATTTGTTGAAGTGTCAATTAGATTTTTCATCTCTGCTTATGTCCCTTCTCATGACTGCACTCTGTTTTATAAAGCAATTTGATATTCCAAGGAGTGATTTCATTCTGATCACTCTTAGGGTTAAAGGTTAAGACTATTTCCTTGTATTGAGACTGCATGATTACTATAAGCTGGCAGAGAAAAAAAAAGGTTTCAGGGAGTTCATAAGCAAAAAGCCAATACTAGTTACACAATTTCCCTAAGTATACTGAAAGGAGCCATGTGACAATTTTTTGCATTATTGTGTCAAAAGCCTGTAAACTGATTGGAATAATTGAAAGTCCAAAAATGTTGAATATAAGTTTTGTTGAAACATACTTATGCTACATTAAGCATTCTCAACTTTCTTTGCTTACAGTGACTAGGATGGAAATGGTTCAGGCAGCTAATGTAAAAACTGGGCATACTTTTATTAATCTCACTAATTAATTCTTGTGTTCAAAAAATGGTCATTTATTGCTTTTCCTTCAAGCCACTTACTTGATACCTTTCAATATTTTATTATATTTTATTTAATTATGTGTAACAACTATACATGACACAGCCCTGGCCTATCCCTTAAATAGTCCTTTAAATTAGAAATATGTTATTTTTGACTACTGTTTAAATTTCTATCATTATCTTGCAGTTCTCAAAAACGAAGAGAATGAAGAGCTTTTGAGAGTGCTGTTGTGTTTTTACCAGTCATGAAGGAAAATATACAGACCACTTTACTTTTGAATGGGATATCACTGTAAGCCAGGCAATAATTATATTGTATTCTTACACATTTGTATTATGAAGTGAGGGCCCGTCTCATTAAGTTCCTCAATCCTGATCAGGTGCAGACCCACACCGGTTTCCACCATTTTATGGAAATCGGTAAGATTTGTCACAATAAAAATATTTTTATTAACAATAATAACAATAACAATAAACTTTCCAAGTTGAAATTGAGGGATGAAATAATTCGCTGATTTGGAAGGCTTCATTCGTGGACAATGGACTGGCCAATATCGTGTCTGAATCCCTCGTACCCAGAATCTTACACTGAGGAGATCTGAGTACAATCAGGTATGAGATTACTTTCGTGTTGACCACTGAACTTGAAATCCGAGGGAGACCCACCAGGGTGGGGATTAATAGTGTGAGGGGAGGTCTTGGTAAAACTTGTTCTATGATCTATACTATGATCATTTACATCTTCACAAGAAATTTTACAAGAAACCAACTTGCATTATTTGCTTCATTCCACATCATCATTAACAAACTGGCCCCGGTTCTGAAAAGGCCAATTGGTGCTAGTCCAGGATTAAAATTTTGTTCCACTTTTTGTATTTACCTTCCTGTGCATTGCTTAGAGTAACACTTCCTGTTATCATTTCTTATTTTCGAAGTAAAGACACAACAGTATTTTGTAAGCCCAAGTTGCATGTTCTTAGACAAGAAAACGTTGCTTAAGATTTGGCTTAATCCTGGGTTATACTTAACTATCTTTTTAGGAACCGGGGCCCTGGATACATAAACTGAAGATCAAAATTTACATTTTTTTCTTTGTTTGTTTGTGTTTTTTAAGAGTTTATTTTCCATCCTAGGAGGGAGCATTTCCTTTAATAATGTCTCACTCTAGTTGTGACTGTGTTTTTAAGTGAAAGAGAATCAACTAGGAGATTCTCTATTGTCAATTTAGTGGGGACGGTGAATCCTTGATACTGTAGATAAAGAGAAGAGTTAGAATGTTTATGTTTATTGAACTATCAATGTAAAGCCGGGGGATGGGGGGGGGGTGACTGGGGTGGCAGGGCATGGGGTGGGGATTTTTAACGACCCTTTTCTCCCGGGGAGAGGGGATATTTGAATCTCTCTTTGCCTGACATGCACTGGGATCAATTGAACGTTTTAAGATATTGCAGGATCAAAGTTACTGCAAGCTCTACTTTCAAAACAAAAAAGTCCATGGATCAGGTTGAAAACGTGCAGGAGATGTTTAATTTTCAATTAACCCGAGGTGATAAAATCTTATGATTTTGGATTTTGAACTTTCATGACCTTGTTTTAATGGAAGCAAGTGCCCCTGGTCAGTAATCAAGACTTTTTAAAATAAATTTCATTTGGTGCTGTTCACAAAAGAACCTAACATTACATTCTTTTAATCATATCCATGGGACAGGACCACTAGTGGATATTCTATAATTTAGATTGAGCTCAGTATAAGGTTAAGGTTTTGACATGACTACAATGCTGTGTGGGACTAAAATCTTTTGATACTGTTGTCGCATTTCAGTAAAAGATGTCAGTTATTGCTTTTACTAGAACCAGAACATAGGTAAAACTTTAGTCAAAGGCAATCATGTGTAGCCCGTGGAGGGGAAATTTTTTTGCATATGACTGGAATGATTTGCCTGTAGCAGGGGAATTTGAAGGACATTTGTTGAAAAAAAAGTCATATCCCTATGCACTCCATGTCCTGCCCCCCTCCCCCGCCGGCTTTACATTGATAGGTGCATTACAATAAGACAACTGTCATTTTGAGTTACCATAACTGGGTCTCGGGGCCCAAGAAACATATTTTGACCACCAGTATAGTAAGGTGTTCCCAGAACAACAACAACAACAAAAGTTTACAACATCACCTGTAAACAACGGATTGAAAATAATTATATTTTGAGAAACCCGAACCTGGGCTGGCCGTGAGTTAGTGTATGGGTGCGTACGTGCGATGTGTGCCCCTTGTTTTCAGTGTGTTATATATATTGGGCTGCCTGTGGAGCACTTTTGTCTCATGTTTGTTTCCTTTCGAAAGCTCTGAATACAGTCACACACTGCATGCTGCAGTAGTGTAAATACTTGCATTGGTTATTGCTTTTTCTTGTGTGGTGGCTCCTAAAAGAGCCGTTTGTTTGTAAAGAGGTGTCGCAATTTACTTCTTAGCGGGTTTTTTGGCAGCAGTTTTCTTGGCGGGCTTTTTGGCTGCAGGCTTCTTTGTCTTCTTTCCTGTAGCTTTCTTGGGGGCTGGTTTCTTTGCTGCAGTCTTTTTCGGTGTCGATTTCTTACTGGGCTTTTTAACTGCTGTTTTCTTGGCTGGCTTCTTTTTAGCTGCTGGTTTCTTCGCCGCTGGCTTTTTAGCCGCTGGTTTCTTTGCTACCTTCTTGGCGGCGGGCTTCTTTGGCTTCTTCGCCGGTTTCTTCGGGGCCTTCTTTTCCTCCTTGGGCACCTTGAAGGAGCCTGAAGCGCCAACTCCTTTGGTGTGTACTAACTTTCCACCAGCAACTCCTCTCTTGAGAGCCGTCTTCAAGTGTGGGCCGACCTCACCAACCTTGTAGTTGGCTTTGATGTACTTCTCGATGGCTTGGCGCGAAGATCCACCTCGCTCTTTCAGAGCTACAATAGCAGCCTTGATCATCTCACTGTATGGTGGATGATCAGCTGGCTTTTTAGGCTTAGATGGCTTCTTCTTAGCCGGTGACTTTGCTTGTGCTACTTCAGACATGATGGAGTTTAACCGATACCTTCGGATACGAAAGCACTGATTGAACTCCCGAATACTGCGAAGTGATGTAAATGAGTTGTATGCGGACCACTGAGGAGACAATGATCGAACATGGCGCACTATTCTTCTGTGCTAGTTTTCTGTGGATTTTGTCAAATAAAGTGTTGTAACATAGAAATAAATTACTTCTAGAATGAAAAGATTGAAAGCTTAGCCTTGAACATAAGCGATTACCACAAATATGTGCGAGTTAAGGTACGTGTAGCAAACGATATCTAACCTTTTATCCTTTCGCTCCGGTGAATCTTGAAACAATTTTATCTTTAAAGTCGTGTAATTTTTGCAGCTGCGACTTCCTTTTCGTGTAGAAACATTTGGAAGATAGTAAAACTTTTACACTTCAAGTTTCTGCCTGTATTTTTTGCAGATTCTCCCATTTAACTTGGTTAAAATTCTCTTTTGTTAACACAACAAGGACAAAGTCGTGTGCCGCCATGCAGTGAGAACCCTTAAGGCTGGCATGGTCATTTTATTTGTGCAGAACGTTGAATGGCCGCCGAAAGCCGAGTGACTCAGAAGTTTAGTGATTAGGGTTAGGAAAATGAGTGAATTGTGGTTCCATTTAGGGTCATTATCCTGGGAAAAATAACCTGAATCTTGACCAAACTTGATTCACTAATCCTAATTATTCACTAATCCTAATTATCACGGTCGCTCGGCGGCGGTTCTGTAAAATACAGTACTCCTACCTGGGCCTTCTCTCTCATCGAAAACCAGTGAATTTCGTTTGGGTCGTGAGACTTTTTATTTTTCGCTAGATATTAGCTGTCTGATTTAATAGACAGTCGATGAACATTACTGAATTCGAGAGCGCATTTCAACTGAATAGAGGGGCACCCAACGAATGTGCAATTCTCGAAACCTATCTTCTAAATTCGCTACGATTTTCCTAAGTTTAATTTTTCACCGTCATTTCGTTTCGTTCCATTTCGCTTCGCTCCATTTTGTTTCGCAAAACAAAGTAGACCGAAAAACGAAACCTTAAAATTTTGGTATTCAAAAATGTGACGCAGAGAGGAATCAGGAAAATTCTCACTTTCTTAAAACGTTAAATTGCATCTAAAATTTTCAGGAAAATAATACTAAAGCCCTTGTAATTTCGAAAAGACTCAAGTTCCCCTAGGATGACTACCCCGCGAGAGCAGATGTTTCTCTCTTGCATGGCTTTTAGCGTTTACCAAGTTGTTCGCGTGGGTTGTCTGTGGCACGGTTCGATTCAACCTCAAGCACTGAATTAACGCAAAAATTTCGATCACTTTATAAGTACAGCTTGCGCGTGAACAACGAGAACTTGATTGGGGTGAATATTCGTCTTTCTTTAAGCCAAGTACGTTAAACTATTTACAACTCGGCTGAATAAACTTGTATCGAAACGGTCGGCAAATTCAAATCGGGGTAGCCTGTTCCAAGCGTTCAGATAGTGGAGAGCGGTGCGAAGTAAAGATAGCGATGAAAAGTGGAGGGGGACTGCAAGCGTTCAGATAGTGGAGAGCGGTGCGAAGTAAAGATAGCGATGAAAAGTGGAGGGGGACTGCAAGCGTTCAGATAGTGGAGAGCGGTGCGAAGTAAAGATAGCGATGAAAAGTAGAGGGGGACTTCGCGCTCCTTTTTTCTTCACACCGCTCCCCACTATCTGAACGCCTGGAACAGGCTAAAATCGGGGTCAAACTGTTCAATTCAGTGCTCGCAAGTCAACAAAGTGCAGTGGTGCCTAAACTGCATTACGCTTTTGCTCAGGTTGGCGTTTGCCCATGATAATAATCAAACAACTTTCAGTTGTTCTTACTGATTTGATTAACAAATTAAATGGGCATAAATAAAATCTTTTCAGTTTAACGTAAAATTCGGGGTGCTTTTTCCTTCTTGAGTTTGAAAAACACAACGGTTGAAAACAAATCTGGCTAGTAAGACACTCCGCAATAGCTTTTGAGCTCATAGAGGAATTGAAAATTGGGTGTTCAAAATTTAAACTGCTGTTGGTTATTGCTTTTATTGATGTGGTGGCTCCTAAAAGAGCCGTTTGTTTTGAACTATTAGCAATGCACTTATGCACGCTCTCCGCGGATTCGGCGGGCCAACTGAATGTCCTTGGGCATGATGGTGACGCGCTTGGCGTGGATGGCGCACAAGTTGGTGTCTTCAAACAGGCCAACAAGGTAAGCCTCGCTTGCTTCTTGAAGAGCCATCACAGCAGAGCTCTGGAAACGCAGATCGGTCTTAAAATCTTGAGCGATTTCTCGCACAAGACGCTGGAAGGGCAGCTTGCGGATTAGCAGCTCGGTGGATTTCTGGTAACGACGGATTTCACGAAGAGCCACTGTACCAGGCCTGTAACGATGAGGTTTCTTGACTCCTCCAGTGGCAGGCGCGCTCTTACGAGCTGCCTTTGTGGCGAGCTGTTTTCGTGGAGCTTTTCCACCAGTCGATTTACGGGCAGTTTGCTTTGTACGTGCCATTTCTGCTATAAACTCAAATGTCAACGAATAATGTATGTGATATTCCTTCCACGATACTTTATACTTAGCGCGCTTTTTGCTGATTGGTTATAAACTATGCGATTTCATTGGATAACCAAGACTGCTCGTAAAATATTGCTATAATCTAGGTTTGCATAGCGATCCTATAAGTCACATAAGGTTCTTTTGATTTATGGAAAACAATTATTCCTAAGTTGTCGTTGTTAATTGTTAGAAAGTGCCATCATAAAATCAGTCTGAGAGTTACATCGCAAGAGTTTTAGTGATAATGGCCATTTTTTTTGTTCGCACTTGTCTAGTAAGGCAATAGTATGGTAACAATTAGCTTGACCCTTTGACTCTTTTGTCCGTTCTAACCAATCAAGAACAAGAAATTATTTCTTCAATAGCTTGTTTTCCGTGAGGTCACTCTTTCCGGTATAAAAAGACGGAAAGTCGTGTTGTGAGTTATTATTTCTTGCCCGAGAAAGAGTTTCAACATGTCTGGTCGCGGCAAAGGAGGCAAAGGTCTAGGAAAAGGAGGCGCCAAGCGTCACCGAAAGATTCTTCGTGACAACATCCAAGGCATCACCAAGCCAGCTATCCGTCGTCTTGCTCGCCGTGGCGGTGTCAAGCGAATCTCTGGCCTGATCTACGAAGAGACTCGTGGTGTTCTCAAAGTTTTCCTTGAGAATGTGATCCGTGATGCTGTGACCTACACCGAGCACGCCAAACGCAAGACTGTGACGGCCATGGATGTGGTGTACGCTCTGAAACGCCAAGGACGTACTCTGTACGGATTTGGCGGCTAGATTTTTGCGTTACCCACTCAAACAAACGGCTCTTTTAGGAGCCACCAAATCTCTAAAAGTCATAACCAATAAAGTGTTTTCTTTGTCATAAGATCAACCTCTACCTCTCGTTAGTTTGGGCACTCAAGAAATATTACAGCAGCAAAAGAATGTACGTTAAGTTTTAGAATATAAGTAACTTTCAGAAATAATCGCTTTTATTCTTGTGCAGTAATTTGGCTGTCGAGTTTCTAAGGATCATTATTTCTTGCGTAAAAGCAATCAAACTGCACGCCGTTATAATTTAAATTGTGCGCGTCGGTAACTGAACTGATTTGCATTCGTTACGATCGTAACGGTTGACTTCACCGAAACTCAGTATTAGTTAAAATAAGTGTTCTGCAACGTTAACCTTACCACACATCAGAAACCAACATTATCAACAACCAGTGTTCGAACTTATTTTAGTCTAGCCATCTTTCACTGGTCTTATAGTTCGCCCAATTTCTACTCGTTTTAAATATGTGGCCTCGACCCGCCTTTTATAAAATTTATGCATACGCGACACTACAAAGCGGTGATGGCCAGTTTCAACGTAAGAATTTAGTGTAAAGAATGAAAGATTGGTGCATATCTAGGGGTTTCTTGCTGGCTTCATCGACTTATTCGAAGAAAAGAGTATCTACGTTACTGAGTTCATATATAGTTCTCTTTATGGTCATGACTTTTATAATATGTGGTGGCTCCTAAAAGAGCCGTTTGTTTTTTAATTCAGGTAAGAACTGTTTAAGCTTTTGCCTTCTTTTCAGTCTTCTTGGGCAGAAGAACAGCCTGGATGTTGGGAAGAACACCACCTTGCGCGATGGTGACGCCGGCGAGCAGTTTGTTCAACTCTTCGTCGTTGCGGACAGCAAGCTGAAGGTGACGGGGAATGATTCTAGTCTTCTTGTTGTCACGAGCAGCGTTGCCCGCCAACTCAAGGATCTCAGCGCTCAAATACTCAAGCACCGCAGCCAAGTAGACTGGAGCACCAGCGCCAACACGCTCAGCGTAGTTGCCTTTGCGAAGAAGACGGTGGATACGTCCAACAGGGAACTGAAGTCCTGCTCGGGATGATCGGCTTTTGGACTTGGTGCCCTTTGCCTTTCCTTTACCGCGACCAGACATGTTTTCAAATGAAGGGTTGAGCTCGAATATACACTAGTGAATAAACCTAAGCCAAAAACCTTAGACTTTATACGCGCGGCAAATTTTGAATAGGATCGAAACGCACCAATCAGGCGTTAAAAATTTTAAGTGTTAAATGAAATGTGATGATGTATGCGGAAAGCATATTGACCTTGAAATAGAGTAACCAATTAAAACTTAGGATTTCGATCCACGTGTTAATTGATCCCCTAGTGATTTTGTTATAAATACAATCTGTGTTAACCTAGGGCATTCACTTCCATTCTGATCGACAGACATGGCACCCAAAGTTGCAGGAAAGAAAGGCGAGAAGAGAGCTGGAAAGGCAAAGGCTCCATCTGATGGAAAGAAAAAGAGGAGGGGAAAGAGAAAGGAAAGCTATGCCATCTACATCTACAAGGTGTTGAAGCAAGTTCACCCTGACACTGGTATCTCCAGCAAAGCCATGGGCATCATGAACTCGTTTGTGAACGACATCTTCGAGCGCATCGCCACCGAAGCTTCCCGCCTTGCCCACTACAACAAGAAATCAACCATCAGTTCTCGCGAGATTCAGACCGCCATCAGGCTCCTTCTGCCCGGTGAACTGGCCAAACACGCTGTCAGTGAAGGAACAAAGGCTGTGACCAAGTACACCAGCAGCAAGTAAACTCACTTTGTGGGTTTACCGCTAAAACAAAACGGCTCTTTTAGGAGCCACCAAATGTCATAACAATCATGACCAATTTCAATGATATTTCTTCCCTATTTTCTAACTCCGTCAATAGGCCCAATGATATGTTTATTATTATTATTTTGCCGCCAAAAGCAACGGCTCATCCGTTGTAACGTGTAGTGATTTTCTTACACAGACAAACTTCCCGTCTATGCCATTTGACGCGAAAGGACGGTTCAGCCGGTGAGAAGATTATAGTTTGAACGGCTGGGTATAATGGGTATAACCTCCGAGTAAGCTTTCCATTCGGGCTTACACGCAAGTGACAATGAAAGGAGACGCAAAATAGTCTTGTCTTTTAATTAGAATACGTCAGTTCAGTTTTGTCTTTGTTTTGTAGAAGCCTTTTAAACTAAGCCTAGGGCAGCTTAACCTACGTTGCAGAACGTAAACGTAGCCGTTATTTTCCCGCGTTCTTTTGTCGAACGAATCACGAAGAGAGCGTAGAGCTTTTCTGCGCGTTTCCCTCTCGTGCGTGTCTCGCGCTCCTCGCTCGCTTCGCGCTTGTCTTTGGTTTCCTCAGAAACAGCGAATAAAAGTTGCAAGGAGGATACGTCCTCTCTTGATAAATACGGGTCCATGGCATGGAGCAGCCGTGCTTTCATTAGAAGATTCGAGGGGACTGTATTTCTTTTTACGTGGAATGATATTCATATGATCCTTTTACACAGTAATCGCACTGTATCTTATAAAATATGAAAAAGTCAACCTCCGAAAATCGTAGGTAAGTCAGTTGAAAAACTCCAAACATCTTGGGCAAGTTAAACGGTTATGCACTAGTCAGTAGAAAGCCCCCCGATACCCGGGGAATCGTGGGGCATTAGACGAGGCCCGTCTTCTAACGGAAGTAAGTTCCCGGCTATACGGGGCAATTTCGAAGGTCAAAAGCTCACATTTGTTCCCCGCCCCTGGGGCAATACATTACTTCAAAAAATAACAAATGCACAATGTCTTGACCAAAATTAATCTATTTCGAGAATTTTTGCCTAAAATTGAACTTTAAACACTTATTGACATCACCGCTTTCTATTTCTCATACAGCCAAAATTGTAAGTTGAACAATAATCTACCCTGAGCTGAATGATGTGGTCAACATGTCACGAGCACGGGAGAGAGAAAAAATCTGAGCCCCTTGACAGGAGTTGAATCTCTGACCTTCTGCACACCGGTCGGATGCTCTAACCACTGAGCTTGGAAGGATGCGTGGCGAGCTCAGTGGGCCAGCTCTTCACCGAGCTTCCAATTTATCATCATTTTTTATTTATCAATCTACCATGAGTTCTCTCCAAAAACAGTTTAAAAAGTTAGCAGGGTTTAGTATAGCCCTGAAAATTGAAGTAGTAAATACCAGTTTCCTTGCTGCCAAAGCCGTCAAATTAAAGTCGCAGTGTCCAAACATGCATCTAGTGACGTGGTAACTAAATCTGACAATTATGCCTTGAACAATATTCCAGTTATTTCTTATTAAAAGGCATAGGCATGTGCAACGTACACTCAGTTGAATAAAAAGGTTCACCATCAGAACAATTCCCAAAAAGCTGTTTAAAAAACTTCAAAAAGTGGCTTATAAACATAATTCATAGTACGGTTAAACTTGGTCACAAAAGACTTACCATCGGCAGCAAATTTTAAAATTTCCTTGAAACTTAGACAAGGAAAACACAACATCTAGTAAATGACAGCAGATCTTTTTTTCGTGTGCCTGTTCAAGGTGGCGTCGAAAGAGAATCCCCGCCTAAGCCGCTAATGGTCCCCGCTCTTTGATACTTGCGTCTAAACGTAGTCGAAAATCCCGCATACCACAGTCTAAAACAACTGAAATCCCCCACTAAAGCCCCGCATTTCACGGGTATAGGGTGCAGGGCTTTCCACTGACTAGTGCATTATTGAAAAATGTTTGGGCTCAGTCTCTAGCTTAAGAAATTTTTAGGCAATATTTGCTCCTGCGGACAGTTATTTTTAGAGAAAATAGTCGTTGGGTGCCCCTGTCTTAACTATCATGCTTGGCGTGGCGTTACGGAATGAGTTAGGGAAGGAGGCCTTTGAAGGAATTGAGGCGCGCGAGCCCTTGCGCGATTCTCTGCTCGCCGCGTTCTATTATTCCCGCTCTTTCTTTCCCCTTCGAACACCCGCCACACAGGCTTGCAGACACGAAGAATTGGTATAGTCTACAGTTTATACCTGGTCGGAAAAGAAACTCGAAAGAGAAACAACAAAATATCTTAAAAAGTCTCTGTCACCCACTGTATTATCCGAGAAGTTTTCTTCATATGATGTTTCCATCCTCCACTTAACCATGTTAACATCCTTTGCCCAGGTCAGACGTGTTCTCTTTCTTTTCTTTTTTAAAAATTTTTTCAATTGATTTGGCGAGTCCCCTAATGCTAGCTTGGCGAGCGAGTAATCATTGTTCATTTTTTGCTCATATTTCTCCACAACGTAAGCTGCTGGTCTGCAAAAAAATTGCTTTGAGTCATGCAAGAGCTTTCTGCTTGACCTGCATGAGCAAATCTAGTAGAGACCCTGCGCCGTTTAGCTTGAAAATATAAAGGCTGGGGCTCTAAAGGAAAAAACAATGGACACTGGGTGGGAGGGGGGATCTTGTCGCGCTTTAAAATTGACTAATAACATTGTTACTAACTTGTTTTGGAAAAATGAAAAAAATATCTTCGACAGAGAGACCTGCTTGGTCTAGGGTGTAAAGCTGAAAAAAAATAAAACAGGATGGTAGACCTGTGCAGTAGGCATCCTCATTACCGCGCGGTGCGAGTAGGAAATCCTATCCAGGCACTCCAATCTTCTCAAAAAGCATACCGTATTAGAAAAGAAGAAAAACTTCAGCTACAATGAACTTCCTAGATATTTTCTCCCAAACGACAAATTCACTTGTATTTTTGGTGTTTTTGACATCGTTTCGCTGTCTAGCGCGTGCAGAGAAAACTGGTTCACCATTTGATTGACCTGAGAAGGATTTTCATGAGAATCTAACATGAGATGCCGATGGAGTTGGAGAGTTGGTGAGCGCTATCTTCATGTCCACGGTTACTCACATTGGCTAAGACAGCTTCCTGGACGTTTTCATGGTACAGAATTCATTGTTTTAACAGTTATTATTTTTAGTAGTTAATATTATTATTTCAAATCCTTAAACAACAGCCATTATCATGAAATCTAGTAAGAGAGAAGAGAAGAGCTGGAATTCTCTGGAGGAACTGGAGGGCTCAAAATTCCTAACACTATTTCAATTCTATTTCAATACTTTTAATACTAGTATTCTTATCAGCACTTAAATTTGATGATTTATATATTGATGCATAAAATTATAGAAGCATTACTTTTTCATAGTGTCAGTAAAGTCACACTGAAGTCAGTAAAGCACATGAGTGTTAGCCAGTTATTGAAAAGACATTGGCGGATCTTTGACATAAAAAAGCACGAAAAACATGTATACCCAGATCTATAAGACCTGTAACTAACCTTGGGAACTATAATACACATCTAACTTGTGGAAACCTGGAGCATGAATTCGCGAGTAAGCAAGGCCTGGGGTACATTTTTTGTGACCTGTAGACAAAAATGGGAGTTGTCAGAGTGAGTACAGCTCATGTTTTTTTTTCATTTTACACTGAACAGAGACTTCTGTTTAGGCATCACACAAAACTGTACAAACAAGCTAGTGATTTTCAAGAGGGAACAGTATCTTTTGTGGGTTTCCTGTTGTATCACAGGTATTCCAAGTATTATTTGGAGAATTCCTTTTAAGCCTATTTCCTTCAATACCTTAATTTTTTAAAGATGGTGGTCTTTAATAATTTAAGACTGATTTTACTATTCCAGAGGGGGTACTCCAGATTTGAAGTGACAGGGATGATCGAAGGATTGTTTTGGGTTTGAAATTTTTTATTCGGGGACTTTTTGGGTAGGAAATTTTGGCAAGTATTTTTTTCTGTGGCTTGATAGTTTTGAGGGATTTTTTTGGGGTATTCCAAACAAACTGAACATTCATAGCAGATAACTTCAAATGGTGTGATGAATAAACAAATACAAACATTTATTTCCTTATTTTTTAATGCTTTCTGGAAATGTTTAAGGCTTGGAAATTCATTATACAGATTTTTGGGAGTTAATGTTTGATCCAGGGATTTTTTTTCGGGTTTTGTTGGAAGTCCTAGGGATTTTTTTAGGTTTTGGTTTTTGCCCCCATTCGATTATCCCCACTTGAAATCCACAGTACCTCCCCCCACAGGTTAACCATAAGGTAGTGGCAGAAACAAAAAAAAATATTCAGAGAATAATTCCCAAGCCAGACCTTCAGATAAGTGGGGGGGTTCATCTCAAAAAAAATGCTTTTTGGCCCTTTAGACCTCAGTTTGGTCTAAAAATAAGGGGGCCCCCAGGCCTCCCAGGCCTTCCTCTGGATCCACCAGGCTTTTTGCGATCCTTCAACCCCCCCAACTTCCCCCCCCCAAATTAAGGCATTGGAATCAATGAAAGTAAAAAATAATGAATCCAGTTTTGTTTAAGAGTAGTTAACCTAATTAATTAACATTGCTGTTGTTCTAACCTTAAAGTGACCAGGATGGAAATGGATTCCAACTTGTAAAAAACTGGGCAAACTTTTTTTAAGTTCACTTTTCTTGTGTTGTCTAGAAAAAAGGTCTTGTTTTCCTTTTTCTTTTCCAAGAGAATTATGTCGTTTGATCTCTTCAGTTTCAGCTCTGTTTTAACTTAATGATGTGTAACTATTATTATTATAACATAGCCTTACCCCTGAAATAGTCCTTTAAATCCGAAGTGTCATTTTTAACCACTGTACCGTAAATTTCTTGCAGTTTTCAAAAGTGAAGAGGATAACAGGCATAGAGGACTGTTGGTACTGATACAAGTCATGAAGGAAAATATACGACCACTTTAACTTTGCATTGGATAATGGTAAGCCAGCCAATAACACATTATTTTATGTTATGAAGTGAGGTGGGTCTTAATAGTTCTTCAGTCCTGTCATAGCAATCAAAATCTTCCTTCATCCAATCCTATAATATTGATGAATTTTTCACGTGTTGGGTCTTAATAGTTCTTCAGTCCTGTCATAGCAATCAAAATCTTCCTTCATCCAATCCTATAATATTGATGAATTTTTCACGTGACATTGCCAGTAATTATGTCTGAAATTTTGAATCCCAAGATAGCTAGGCAAAAATATCTAGCTGTTCGGAAGACGATTTGAGATCTAGAATTTTTGGAACAGCCAGTTCCCAAATCTAAAAAATAAAAACCATTTTTAACGACTATGTTAATACAAATCTACTGTTTGAATACTAAACTACGTTCAACAATGCTATGTTAAGTGGTTTTGAATCCTCGTTGGGTGCCCCTGCGTCATGCCAGCCAAAATTGTCTGCACTGTTGGCTCAGGAATATTAGACAGTCATGATATGATTTTCTATTCACCTCTTTCATTGTTTTCAAAAGCAAAAAAGACTGATTTTAAGTCGTAAAGGTCTGAGTTCAAATCAGCTTCAGGCAATCAGTGCTCATTTAAAGTGCCTGGAAATGCAAATCATGTATCCCAGTCTTCCCTGATGAGACTCTGCTTTCTGAACAGGAATTATTCTTTTATTACATCTTATACAGTTTAATAACAATAATAATAGTAATAATAATTTATTATTTGTAAAGTGCAAAAATAACATTTAAATATGACCTAATGCGCTCGTTTATTCACAGTCTCACTTTCAGAGATTTTGTATCTGCACGTGTTCTTGATAAATGCCAAAAGATTTTCCTATTTCCTCAACACCAGCTAATTCTTTCCATTTTCTTGTTTTTTTTTCAGGGAAAGGTTTAATTTATAAGTACCCTTCCTGTGAGGAAATGCTCCGAATTAAAATGAAAGGGTTGCTCATCATACCTTTAAAGGTACCCCACTGGGGGAATCATTTGTGGATTGATAGTGGGGTACTCCAGATTCCAAATGAGGGGGATGGTTGAAGGATTTTTTTGTATTTTGGGGGGATTGCAAGCATTTTCTTTCAGTTTTTTGGTGTTGGAAAATTTGGCAAGTATTTTTGTGTGTGTGGCTTGATGTAAGTAAGGAAGATGCATGAAAGTGGCCATGTATCGACAGGGAGCTCACACAATGTGTGTGTAACCGATTGTTTTTTTTATTGTGACTTTACTGGATTTACTCTTTGCTTCACCTATAATGATACTTTGCTAAGTATGTATGTAAATCAATGTTAAATAAGCGTTGAATTACTTTACTTGTGGTATATCGTTGTCCTTTCGCCTCAAAAGCGGTTTTTTTGAGCGATTTTGAGGGATTTTGAGTTTGCTGTTTACTGTTCCTTTGAGGGCTAGGCTCGGACCTTTTGGGTGGATTTTCAATCGGAAGGTATGAGGAAATTAAAGCGTGAATCTTTCAACCTGTTGCTGTGAAGTTTGAAAGCAGAGCAGTGCGATTTTCAGGGGGAAATTCGTGCCGGCGCTGGAGCCCTTTCAAAACAAGGATTCCTCCCTTGTCCTTCTATTATTAGGAACAGTAAACGGCGAACTTAAAATGCTTCAAAATCACTAAAAAAACTGCTTTTGAGGCAAAAGGACGACTACATACACGTGTAAGGTAATTCAACGTTTATTTAATATTGATTTATAGGCGTAGTAAGCGATATATCACTATAGGTGAAGCAAATGGTAAATCCAGTACATTTACTATAAAATGACAATCGGTTACACACACACCTTGTGTGGGTGCCCTGTGATGTATCCAGGCCACATAATGCTGCTAATCAAAGTACAACAAAAATGGTTAAAATTTATCACTTTTCATTGACTCTCAAAAGATAATAATAATTATTATTAGAGGGTTGTCTTCATTCAATCATTCCTGTTAATCTTGTAATCATATCTCCCTCTGTCTTACGCTAAAACATCAATTGGACATGGGAGCTCTGGGGATTAGATTACATTCTCATCACTTGGAATCTGAGAGAACCCCTGCCAGGGATTAGCAATGCTTAGGGTTTTCTTATAAAAACTTTACTGTGGTCATTTTCTTCTTCACAAGGAATTTTACAAGGGACCAGCTTGATAATTTTGCTTCATTCCACATCATAATCTTGTAGTTTTGTTTTATTTTCCCCTGAGTAGCAAGCATCTCCTGTAATAATTTCTTTCACTTTAGCTGAGACTGTTTGAAGTACAATAGAGTGCGAGCAGTCTCTCTTTTTGTTCAGATTTAGTGAGGGGAGTGCTTGCGCGCGTGAGTGTCGAGCGGCACAGCTGCGAGAAACGAGTGCCTTTCCCGTCTCGCGCCTTCAGTCACACACGTGGTCATTTGTGTTTATCATGCGTTTTGCTTGATGGACCAAGAAAAAAAGAGAGACTGTACGTAGTATATAAAATATATAGTATATAAAAGTTACCAGAGAAACAACCAGCAGATTCTCTACTTCCAATTTCAATGGAGCCATTGAACTTTTAATACTAAAGGCACTGTCATTTTGTGACCATAGCTGAGTTGCTAGGTAGCCAGGGTGAGTATCAGACGTGAAGGGCAGTGGTACTCAGGCTACTAAGCAGCGGTCGAAGAAACGTATTTTGAGCTCCAGAAAGGTGTTTCTAGAACAGAAAAAAATTTGGTTTCAAAAATCGTTTCTCGAAAAATCCGAAGCAAGAGAACAGGCTATATTGGGCTACCTGTGGAGCGCATTTTTTTTTTAATTCGCGCGCGAAAGCTTTGAACACAGTGATAGCATTATCAAATGTTTGGGTATTGCTTTTTCTTATGTGGTGGCTCCTAAAAGAGCCGTTTGTTTGTAAAGAAGTGTCGCGCTTTACTTCTTAGCGGGTTTTTTGGCGGCAGTTTTCTTGGCGGGCTTTTTGGCTGCAGGCTTCTTTGTCTTCTTTCCTGTAGCTTTCTTGGCGGCTGGTTTCTTTGCTGCAGTCTTTTTCGGTGTCGATTTCTTACTGGGCTTTTTAACTGCTGTTTTCTTGGCTGGCTTCTTCTTAGCCGCTGGTTTCTTCGCCACTGGCTTTTTAGCCGCTGGTTTCTTTGCTACCTTCTTGGCGGCGGGCTTCTTTGGCTTCTTCGCCGGTTTCTTCGGAGCCTTCTTTTCCTCCTTGGGCACCTTGAAGGAGCCAGAAGCACCAACGCCTTTGGTGTGTACTAACTTTCCACCAGCAACTCCTCTCTTGAGAGCCGTCTTCAAGTGTGGGCCGACCTCGCCAACCTTGTAGTTGGCTTTGATGTACTTCTCGATGGCTTGGCGCGAAGATCCGCCTCGCTCTTTCAGAGCTACAATAGCAGCCTTGATCATCTCACTGTATGGTGGATGATCAGCTGGCTTTTTAGGCTTAGGTGGCTTCTTCTTAGCCGGTGACTTTGCTTGTGCTACTTCAGACATGATGGAGTTTAACCGATACCTTCGGATACGAAAGCACTGATTGAACTCCCGAATACTGCGAAGTGATGTAAATGAGTTGTATGCGGACCACTGAGAAGACAATGATCGAACATGGCGCACGATTCTTCTGTGCTAGTTTTCTGTGGATTTTGTCAAATAAAGTGTTGTAACATAGAAATAAATTACTTCTAGAATGAAAAGATTGAAAGCTTAGCCTTGAACATAAGCGATTACCACAAATATGTGCGAGTTAAGGTACGTGTAGCAAACTATATCTAACCTTTTATCCTTTCGCTCCGGTGAATCTTGAAACAATTTTATCTTTAAAGTCGTCTAATTTTTGCGGCTGCGACTTCCTTTTCGTGTAGAAACATTTGGAAGATAGTAAAACTTCTACACTTCAAGTTTCTGCCTGTAGTTTTTACAGTTTCTCTCATTTAACTTGGTTAAATTTCTCTTTCGTTAACACAACAAGGACAAAGTCGTTTGCCGCCATGAAGTGAGAGCCTTTAAGGCTAGCATGGTCATTTTATTTGTGCAGAACGTCGAATGGCCGCCGAAAGCCGAATGACTCAGAAGTTTAGTGATTAGGGTTAGGAAAATGAGTGAATTGGGGTTCCATTTAGGGTCATTATATTGGGAAAACTACTCCTACCTTGGTCTTCTCTCTCATCGAAAACCAGTGAATTTCGTTTGGGTCGTGAGACTTTTTATTTTTCGTTAGATATTAGCTGGCTGATTTAATAGACAGTCGATGAACATCACCGAATTCAAGAGCTGATTTCAACTGAATACAGGGGCACCCAACGAATGTACAATTCTCGAAACCTGTCTTATAAATTCGCTACGATTTTCTGAAGTTTAATTTTTCACATTTTTATACTATCTACTCCCAGATTAGACGCAGCGAGAAAGTCGAATATGGTATTTTCATTTCGTTTCGTTCCATTTCGCTTCGCTCCATTTCGTTTCGCAAAGTAAAGTAGGCCGAAAAAGGAAACCTAAAATTGTCGTATTTAAAAATGTGACGGAGGGAGGAATCAGGAAAATTCTCACTTTCTTAAAACGTTAAATTGCATCTAAAATTTTCAGGAAAATAATACTCAAGCCCTTGTAATATCGAAAAGACTCAAGTTCCGCTAGGATGACTACCCCGCGAGAGCAGATGTTTCTTTCTTGCATGGCTTTTAGCGTTTACCAAGTCGTTCGCGTGGGTTGTCTGTGACGTGTTCGATTCAACCTCAAGCACTGAATTAACGCAGTGTAGTATAGTTTGCGCGTGAACATCAACAAGGGGAACTTGATTGGGGTGAATATTCTTCTTTCTTTAAGCGAAGTGCTTTAAACTATTTACAGCTCGACTGAATCAAATTGTATCGAAACTATCGGCAAATTCAAATCGTTGCCAAACTGTTCAATTCAGTGCTCGCACGTTAACAAAGTGCAGTGCTGCCTAAACTGTATTACGCTTTTGCTCAGGTTGGCGTTTGCTCATGATAATAATCAAACAACTTTGAATTGTTCTTACTGATTTGATTAACAAAGTAAATGCGCGTAAAATACATCATTTTCAGTTTGTTTAACGTAATTCGGGGTGCCTTTTCCTTTTTGACTTTGAAAAACAAAAGGTTGAAAACAAATCTGGCTAGTAATATGTAACACACTCTGCAATAGCTTTTGAGCTTATAGAAAATTGGTTGTTCAAAATTTATACTGCTGTTGGTTATTGCTTTTAATGATGTGGTGGCTCCTAAAAGAGCCGTTTGTTTTGAACTAGAGGCAATGCACCTATGCACGCTCTCCTCTGATTCGGCGGGCCAACTGAATGTCCTTGGGCATGATGGTGACGCGCTTGGCGTGGATGGCGCACAAGTTGGTGTCTTCAAACAGACCAACGAGGTAAGCCTCGCTTGCTTCTTGAAGCGCCATCACAGCAGAGCTCTGGAAACGCAGATCGGTCTTGAAGTCTTGAGCGATTTCTCGCACAAGACGCTGGAAGGGCAGCTTGCGGATTAGCAGCTCGGTGGATTTCTGGTAACGACGGATTTCTCGAAGAGCCACTGTACCAGGCCTGTAACGATGAGGTTTCTTGACTCCTCCAGTGGCAGGCGCGCTCTTACGAGCTGCCTTTGTGGCGAGCTGTTTTCGTGGAGCTTTTCCACCAGTCGATTTACGGGCAGTTTGCTTTGTACGTGCCATTTCTGTTACCTCAAAAGTCAACGAATAATGTATGTAATATTCCTTCCACGATACTTTATACTTAGCGCGCTTTTTGCTGATTGGTTATAAACTATGCGATTTCATTGGTTAACCAAGACTGCTCGTAAAATATTGCTATGATCTAGGCTTGCATTGCGATGCTATAAGTCACATAAGGTTCTTTTGATTTATAGAAAACAATTATTCCTAAGTTGTCGTTGTTAATTGTAAGAAACTATCGTCATAAAATCAGTCTGACAGTTATATCGCAAGAGTTGTAGTGATGATGGTGATTTTGCTTCCTTCAACATGTTCGCACTTGTCTAGTGAGGCAATAGTATAAAGGTAATAATTAATTTGACCCCTTGACTCTTTTGTCTGTTCTAACCAATCAAGAAAGAGAAATTATTTCTTCAATAGCTTGTTTTCCGTGAGGTCATTCTTCTTGGTATAAAAAGACAGAAACTCTTGTATTGAGTTATTATTTCTTGTCCGAGAAAGAGTTTCAACATGTCTGGTCGCGGTAAAGGAGGCAAAGGTCTAGGAAAAGGAGGCGCCAAGCGTCACCGAAAGATTCTTCGCGACAACATCCAAGGCATCACCAAGCCAGCTATCCGTCGTCTTGCTCGCCGTGGCGGTGTCAAGCGAATCTCTGGCCTGATCTACGAAGAGACTCGTGGTGTTCTCAAAGTTTTCCTTGAGAATGTGATCCGTGATGCTGTGACCTACACCGAGCACGCCAAGCGCAAAACGGTGACCGCCATGGATGTGGTGTACGCTCTGAAACGCCAAGGACGTACTCTGTACGGATTCGGCGGCTAGATCTTTGAGCTACACACTCAAACAAACGGCTCTTTTAGGAGCCACCAAATCTCTAAAAGTCATAACCAATAAAGTGTTTTCTTTGTCATAATATAAACTTCTCGTTAGTTGGGGCACTGAAGAAAGATTACAGTAGTAAAAGAATTTACGTTAAATTTTGGAATATAAGTAACTTTCAGAAATAATCGCTATTATTCTTGTGTAATTTTTGCTGTCGAGTTTCTAAGGATAATTACTTCTTGCCTAAAAGCAATCAACTGCACGCCGTTTATCTAAATTGCGCGCGTCGGTAACAACTGATTTGCATTCGTTGTAACGGTTGACTTCACCGAAACTATGAGAGTGAAAAACAAGTCAGGGTTCTGGAACGTTAACCGTACCACACATCAGAAATTAGCATTATCATCAACCAGTTTTCGAACTTACTTTAGTCTAGTCATCTTTCACTGATCTTATAGTTCGGCCAATTGCTACTCGTTCAAAAAATTTATGCATACCCGAAACTACAAAGCAGACTGTGATGGTCGTTTTAAACGTAAGAAGTTAGTGTGAAGTCATTGACTTATTCGAACTAGGGAGCATCTACTGAGTTCATATATAGTTCTCTTTATGGTCATGACTTTTATAATATGTGGTGGCTCTTAAAAGAGCCGTTTGTTTTTGAAATCAGGAAAGAAGTGTTTAAGCTTTCGCCTTCTTCTCAGTCTTCTTGGGAAGGAGAACAGCCTGGATGTTGGGAAGAACACCACCTTGCGCGATGGTGACGCCGGCGAGCAGTTTGTTTAACTCTTCGTCGTTGCGGACAGCAAGCTGAAGGTGACGGGGAATGATTCTAGTCTTCTTGTTGTCACGAGCAGCGTTGCCCGCCAACTCAAGGATCTCAGCGCTCAAATACTCAAGCACCGCAGCCAAGTAGACTGGAGCACCAGCGCCAACACGCTCAGCATAGTTGCCTTTGCGAAGAAGACGGTGGATACGTCCAACAGGGAACTGAAGTCCTGCTCGGGATGATCGGCTTTTGGACTTGGTGCCCTTTGCCTTTCCTTTACCGCGACCAGACATGTTTTCAAATCAACAGTTGAGCTGCAATATGCACGAGTGAATAAACCCTGAGCTAAAAACTTTAGAGTTTATACGCGCGGCAAATTTTGAATAGGATCGAAACGCACCAATCACGCTTTAAAAGTTTTCAGTGGTTATTGAAATATGATGATGTATGCGGAAAGCATATTGATATTAAAATAGAATAACCAATTAAAACTTAAGGATTTCGATCCGCATGTTAATTGATCCCCTAGTGATTTTGTTATAAATAGATTCTGTGTTAACCTGGGGCATTCACTTCCATTCTGATCGACAGACATGGCACCCAAAGTTGCAGGTAAGAAAGGCGAGAAGAGAGCTGGAAAAGCAAAGGCTCCATCTGATGGAAAGAAGAAGAGGAGGGGAAAGAGAAAGGAAAGCTATGCCATCTACATCTACAAGGTGTTGAAGCAAGTTCACCCTGACACTGGTATCTCCAGCAAAGCCATGGGCATCATGAACTCGTTTGTGAACGACATCTTCGAGCGCATCGCCACCGAAGCTTCCCGCCTTGCCCACTACAACAAGAAATCAACCATCAGTTCCCGCGAGATCCAGACTGCCATCAGGCTGCTTCTGCCCGGTGAACTGGCCAAACACGCTGTCAGTGAAGGAACCAAGGCTGTGACCAAGTACACCAGCAGCAAGTAAACTCACTTTGTGGGTTTACCGCTAAAACAAACGGCTCTTTTAGGAGCCACCAAATGTCATAAAAATCATGACCAATTTCAATGATATTTTTTCCTTTATTTTCAAACTTCGTGAATAGGCTTAATGATATGTTTATTATTTTGCCGCCAAAAGCAACTGTCGATCGTTTGTAACGTGTAGGATTTTCTTGTACGGACAAACTTTCCGTTTATGTCATTTGACGCGAAAGGACGGTTCAGCCGGTGAAGAAGATTATAGTCTGAATGGCTGGGTAGAACCTCAGAGTAAGCTTTCCATTCGGGCTTACACGCAAGTGGCAATGAAAGGTGACGCGATATGGTCTTGTCTAGCCTGCGTAGCAAGGGTTTCCAATCGAGTTACTTTTTTTTGCTCTCGTCCCAACTTTCTCGACGAACTCGCGAGGAAACGCTTGCTACGCAGGCTAGGTCTTGTCTTTAAGAATACGGCAGTTCAGTTTCGTCTTTGTTTTGTAGAAGCCTTTTTAACCAACCCTAGGTCAGCTTAGCCTGCGTTGCAAACAGGCGTTTTTTTCCCCGCGTTCTTCTGTCGAACGAATCAGGAAGAGAGCGTAGAGCTTTTGTGCGCGTTTCGCTTTCGTGCGTGTCTCGCGCTCCTCGCTCGCTTCGCGGTTGCCTTTGGTTTCCTTAAAAACGCGAATCTGATGTTGCAAGGAGGATATGTCCTCTCTTGATAAATACGGGCCGTGGCATGAAGCAGCCGTTCTTTCGTTAGGGAACTTAAGGAAAGACGTTTTTGAACGACGCACGCCAACCGGAAGTGGACTTTTGTTTTCTTAAACTACCGTATTTATTCGATTAACCGCCCTGGGCGCTTATTAATTTTTTGGACCTTGAGAGTGGGCGCTTATTCGAGGCTGGGCGCTTATTAAATTTTTAACATTTCCAGCAAGTGTAGTATATTTATTTTGCAACAAAACAATAAATGCTAATAACAAGACGCGAAGAAGTAACAACGCAAGGTTTCTGTAAAATACCCTGAAGAAAACTCCGTCCTCGGGGAAGTCTCTTAAAAGAATTTATTCACTCAAGTGGGTGGGGTGGGGGTGAGCGCTTATTTGAGTTTGATTGGGAGGAGGAGGGGTGGCGCTTATTCGAGGCTGGGCGCTTATTAACTTTTTCTGCCTTTAGGATGGGCGCTTATTCGAGGTGGACGCTTATTCGAATAAATACGGTAAGCGATACAAATTTTATAGCGTCAAGGCATGTATTAAAAGGAACTTAGTTTTCACTTCCGGTTAACGTGCGTCCTTCATATTAAAAAACGCCTTTGCTTAAGTTCTCTATTAGAAGATTCTAGGGAACGTTATTTTTTCTTATGCGGAATGATTTTCATATGATCTTGTTACACAATAATCGCAATATCTTATAAAAATAATATAAAAAGTCAACCTCTGAAAATCGTAGGTAAGTTGGTTGGAAAACTCCACGTTCAACGGTTACACACTAGTCAATTGATTTGGCGAGCCCCCTAATGCTAACTTGATGAGCCCCCCCCACCCTAACCCTCGCTCGGTGCTTTGTGATCATTGTTGATTTTTTGCTTATATTTCTCTGACGTAAGCTGCTGGTCTGCAAAGAAGTTGCTTTGAGTCATGCAAGAGCTTTTCTGCTTGACCTGCATGCGCAAATCTAGTAGAGACGCTGTTTGAAGGCGCCGTTTAGCTTGAAAATAAAAAGGGCTCTAAAGGAAAAAAATAATGGACAATGGGTGGGAGGAGGGTCTTGCCTAGCTTTAAAATTGACTAATAACATTGTTACTAACTTGTATTGCAAAAATGAAAAAAATATCTTTGGCAGAGAAACTTGCCTGGCCTAAAGACAGTTATATAGGGTATAAAGCTGAATAGAATAGGATGATATACCTGTGCAGTAAGGCATCCTCATGGCACCACAGATGAAACTAAACTCTGGTTAAGTCTGTCTGCGAATAAGCGCCTAAATCCTCGTTCTAGTCCCCTACCTTTGCACCAAGATTTGAGTACACGCCATGATTGGCCTGTTTAAAAAATGTTAATCAAGTCTATTAGGGCCCAGAACAAACATGCATCTTGGCGCTGCTTCGCAGATGTTACTAACCGAGGTTAAATTAAACCTGCGAGGTACCCTAGGGAACCATGCCATTCATGAACTCTGTGGGACTTCCACACTTTACACCAAGACAGCTTTACCACACAAATTTTAATACAGCAGTCCTGTTTTACATTATTCTAACAAATTATTTATTATGTCATTTGGGGCTTTCTTCAACTAGGCAGTCCTACTTTTATTATGAATACCGTATGTTAAATCTATGAGCATGTCTAACAGTTTTGAAAACAATATCTTCCTCAACACTGTTT